CTATGCAAGGCCCGATTTGCCTAATAAGCCAAGTTTTCCTGAATTAATATTTTATCTTTAATTTTTTTCTTATGAAATGATAGCTACCCATTTCATTACGTATGAGGTCAATTTTTTTTTATTGGATTTAAAATTAACGTAGATATATGACCGAACCTAACCAACCCTACCTAACCTAACCTATCTTTATAGGTTAGGTTAGGTTAGGTAGCCGAAAAAGTTAGGTTAGGTTAGGTAGGTTAGGTAGTCGAAAAACAATTCGTGAAAACTTGGCTTATTAGGCAAATTGGGCCTTGCATAGTAGGCTGAGAAGTGCGTTCTGGCTACTAGGTACGATATATATATATATATATATATATATATATATATATATATATATGTATATATATATGTATATGTATATATATGTATATATATATATATATATATATATATATATATATATATATATATATATATATATATATATATATATATATATATATATATATATATATATATATATATGTCGTACCTAGTAGCCAGAACTCACTTCTCAGCCTACTATTCAAGGCCCGATTTGCCTAATAAGCAAAGTTTTCCTGAATTAATATATTTACTATAATTTTTTTCTTATGAAATGATAAAGCAACCCTTTTCTCTATGTATGAGGTCAATTTTTTTTTATTGGAGTTAAAATTAACGTAGATATATGACCGAACCTAACCAACCCTACCTAACCTAACCTAACCTATATTTATAGGTAAGGTTAGGTTAGGTAGCCAAAAAAGGTAGGTTAGGTTAGGTAGGTTAGGTAGACGAAAAAACATTAATTCATGAAAACTTGGCTTATTAGGCAAATCGGGCCTTGAATAGTAGGCTGAGAAGTGCGTTCTGGCTATTAGGTACGACATATATATATATATGTATATATATATATATATATATATATATATATATATGTATATATATATATATATATATATATATATATATATATGTATATATATATATATATGTATATATATATATATATATATATATATATATATATATATATATATATATATATATATATATATATATATATATATATATATATATATATATATATATATATATATATATATATATATATATATATATATATATATATATATATATATATATATATATATATATATATATATATATATATATATATATATATATATATATATATATATATATATATATATATATATATATATATATATATATATATATATATATATATATATATATATATATATATATATATATATATATATATATATATATATATATATATATGTGTGTGTGTGTATATATATATATATATATATATATATATATATATATATATATATATATATATATATATATATATATATATATATATATATATATATATATATATATATATATATATATGTATGTATATATATATATATATATATATATATATATATATATATATATATGTATATATATATATATATATATATATATATATATATGTGTGTGTGTATATATATATATATATATATATATATATATATATATATATATATATATATATATATATATATATATATATATATATATATATATATATATATATGTATATATATATATATATATATATATATATATATATATGTCGTACCTAGTAGCCAGAACACACTTCTCGGCCTACTATGCAAGGCCCGATTTGCCTAATAAGCCAAGTTTTTATGAATTAATATATTTTCTCTAATTTTTTTCTCATGAAATGATAAAGCTACCCATTTCATAATGTATGAGGTCAATTTTTTTTATTGGAGTTAAAATTAACGTAGATATATGACCGAACCTAACCAACCCTACCTAACCTAACCTAACCTATCTTTATAGGTTAGGTTAGGTTAGGTAGCCGAAAAAGTTAAGTTAGGTTAGGTTAGGTAGGTTAGGTAGTCGAAAAACAATTAATTCATGAAAACTTGGCTTATTAGGCAAATTAGGCCTTGCATAGTAGGCTGAGAAGTGAGTTCTGGCTACTAGGTACGACATATATATATATATATATATATATATATATATATATATATATATATATATATATATATATATATATGTCGTACCTAGTAGCCAGAACGCACTTCTCAGCCTACTATGCAAGGCCAAATTTGCCTAATAAGCCAAGTTTTCATGAATTAATTGTTTTTCGACTACCTAACCTACCTAACCTAACCTAACCTAACTTTTTCGGCTACCTAACCTAACCTAACCTATAAAGATAGGTTAGGTTAGGTTAGGTAGGGTTGGTTAGGTTCGAGCATATATCTACGTTAATTTTAACTCCAATAAAAAAAAATTGATCTCATACATAATGAAATAGGTAGCTTTATCATTTCATAAGAAAAAAGTTAGAGAAAATGTATTAATTCAGGAAAACTTGGCTTATTAGGCAAATCGGGCCTTGCATAGTAGGCTGATAAGTGCATTCTGGCTACTAGGTACGACATATATGTATATATATATATATATATATATATATATATATATATGTATATGTATATATATATATATATATATATATATATGTATATGTATATATATATATATATATATATATATATATATATATATATATATATATATATATATATATATATATATATATATGTCGTACCTAGTAGCCAGAACGCACTTCTCAGCCTACTATGCATGGCCCGATTTGCCTAATAAGCAAAGTTTTCATGAATTGTTTTTCGACTACCTAACCTACCTAACCTAACCTAACCTAACTTTTTCGGCTACATAACCCAACCTAACCAATAAAGATAGGTTAGGTTAGGTTAGGTAGGGTTGGTTAGGTTCGGTCATATATCTACGTTAATTTTAACTCCAATGAAAAAAAATTGACCTCATTCATAATGAAATGGGTAGCTTTATCATTTCATAAGAAAAAAATTACAGAAAATATATTAATTCAGGAAAACTTGGCTTATTAGGCAAATCGGGCCTTGCATAGTAGGCTGAGAAGTGCGTTCTGGCTACTAGGTACGACATATATATATATATATATATATATATATATATATATATATATATATATATATATATATATATATATATATATATATTATATATATATATATATTGACCCCTCACTCATCTGGTGCCTTCGGGAGGTAGAGATGTTTGAGATATATATCTCGAACTATCTACTTCTTTTGTAGGTCTGATGGCGTAGTGGGTTAAGGTTCGGCATATATATATATATATATATATATATATATATATATATATATATATGTGTATATATATATATATATATATATATATATACATATATATATATATATATACATATATATACATATATATATATATACATATATATATATATATATATATATATAATATATGTATATATGTATATGTATATATATATATATATATATATATATATGTCGTACCTAGTAGCCAGAACTCACTTCTCGGCCTACTATGCAAGGCCCGATTTGCCTAATAAGCCAAGTTTTACTGAATTAATATATTTTCTCTAATTTTTTCTTATGAAATGATAAAGCTACCCATTTCATTATGTATGAGGTCAATTTTTTTTTATTGGAGTTAAAATTAACGTAGATATATGACCGAACCTAACCAACCCTACCTAACCTAACCTAACCTATCTTTATAGGTTAGGTTAGGTTAGGTAGCCGAAAACGTTAGGTTAGGTTAGGTTAGGTAGGTTAGGTTGTCGTAAAAACATTAATTCATGAAAACTAGGCTTATTAGGCAAATCGGGCCATGCATAGTAGGCTGAGAAGTGAGTTCTGGCTACTAGGTACGACATATATATATATATATATATATATATATATATATATATATATATATATATATATATATAATATATATATTATATAGGGGGGTACCACCACTGGTGTAATTATAGGGACCCACAGCCTCAGAGAAGGGAACACAGAGCACTCAGGGAAAAACTTGACATTTAACTCTGAATGCGAAAGAGTGTTCACTTCTCCTACCACCCCCTTTTTTTTTTATTATGATGTACACTTTATTATGCAAGGTTATACAGTTACATATCTGATTTCATACAAAAAATGAACATTAAGAGGACACAAGAAAAAGTTCGCTTCCTAGAGGCTGTAGATTTCCTCGAACTCCTCCGACGCCGGGCAGGAACCGAGGATGCAGCGGGCATTTCCCCTCTGGATCGCGACACTGAGGCGCTGAAAGAGAAAACTTGCTGCTCTAGGGTCTCTTGTGGTGTCAATGAGCTTGGAACCAAGATCCTTAAGAAACCTTCTTGCACTCTCACCCCATGGGCCTAGGGTCTCAGACCCTATTGGAACGAAATTGTACCTTTGATCTAATTGCCTGTACTTGACTGACTTTTGTTTTTCTCTGTGTGTCGCTGCGGCTCCTGCCGTGCCGGCAGAGAGGGTGATGTATGTCGTTGCCAGGGTGGATACGCAAGTATAGTCCCATGCTAACTGCCTGCCACCCTTCCACGGACGCAGTGTGATTCCGTCTGGTCGGCCGGCAAAGCTAACAGAGTCACGGTTCAGTAGGTTGCGGGGCTCTCTCTCCGCTGGACACTGAGCAGAGGCAAGGCTTCTTTTAATGATGTCGTGTATATATATATATATATATATATATATATATATATATATATATATATATATATATATATATATATATATATATATATATATATATATATATATATATATATATATATATATATATATATATATATATATATATATATATATATATATATATATATATATATATATATATATATATATATATATATATATATATATATATATATATATATATATATATATATATATATATATATATATATATATATATATATATATATATATATATATATATATATATATATATATATATATATATATATATATAATTTATTTTTATACTGTATTTTATTTTAAATTTCTGTAATATTTCAGAAACGATCTGGGGTGTCGTTTGATGGAAAGTCCAGTACAAGTCAAGTTCATTTACGCAAGATCCCTGCACTTAATGCAGATGATGAGGCAAGAGCTTTTTGGAATAGCATTAAGAAACGCAGAGGTATGTGCACTAAATTTTGTTTGTAATAGTTGTGCATTAAGTGAGGCAAATTATATTGCCTAAATTTTATGTGTTCTGCTTTTCTACCTTTGTGTTAGCTGTTCCCAAAGTAGATTTTCTGTAGAGCTATACCTGGCTGATGTGTATATATTAGACCGTGGCAACAGTCAATCGATGGAGTTCTAGGCCTACCGGGGACCAGAGCCAGAACCTTGCCACTTCAAGAAGAGGCACGAGGAGCAATGGCCTAAAGACACCCCCAGTATAATTGGAAGCAGTCTTTGTCTGCCATTTACCAGGTCAGGCACCCAGAATGCCAAAACAAACTACTGCTGGTCAAAAATTTCAAACCGAAAGCTGAACTAGCAAGCAGAACTCTCCAATCAAAAACAAGCAAACAAGCATGACATCACCACAGCCGCTGCTCATCTGTCTGCTCAACCTCCCCCTCTCCCCGGGAGGGACAGGGATGTCCCAGACCTCCAATGACGGCTACTCTCCTTGGTTCAAGAGGTTGTTGTGGTGGTTGATCGACTTTAGCTCCATCCTTTGAACAGTGCTGCAGAGCAGTGTTGTATTTCCGTGTTGGTGGTGTGCGAGCCAGGAGTAACACAAGAGTACTGGGACTGCATGCACCTAGGGCCACCTTCCCTTGGTTCCCTGTAAGTACTGCCCCTATGGCCTAGGGTTATCTTCCCTGAGCTGTTTGGGAACTAACTTCATGTGGTTCTGTTGCTGCTCAGTGATTGCCCGCCCTTTGGGTTCAGCTGGGGTGGTTTTTACTCCTGTTTGACCTTGGGTGGGAGGTAGTTTCGTTGCTGGTTGGGGCACGATGTATTGTGCTGCTGTCTGATATACTCATAGCGACCAGTTCTGTTCACCTAGAAACATTGTGCTTTTGCGGGGTTTTTCTTTTCTTTTTTTGTTTTGCCTAGTGGGGGGTCTGCCAGGTGTTGCAGTTGGACCATACCTGGTTGATACCTGGTTGATACCTGGTTGATGGGGTTCTGGGAGTTCTTCTACTCCCCAAGCCTGGCCCGAGGCCAGGCTTGACTTGTGAGAGTTTGGTCCACCAGGCTGTTGCTTGGAGCGGCCGGCAGGCCCACATACCCACATACCCACCACAGCCCGGTTGGTCCGGCACTCCTTGGAGGAAACTGTTTAGTTTTCTCTTGAAGATGTTCACGGTTGTTCCGGCACCACTTGTATGGTTTTGGTTTCCCTCCACTAGGTCTCCATGCTTGCACATGTCGCAGGGGTTCAGCTTTTAGTTTGGTAGCTCTGGGATAACCGGTTAGCAGTACCTCACCTGGGCTTCCCTTAGCAGTCAGCCTAAGTGCCCTGGGAACCCCTATTGGGGCTCATTGATATAATGGAGGAGACCGAGTCCCACCTCGCTTTGTGCAAGTTTGAAGGTTGCTCTGTCCCCTTGACTCAGGGTGACACTATCTTGGCTCCATCATACTGCTTGTTGGGTCAGTGACACCTTTGACCCAGAGTCCTGCGAGTGATGTTCCTTTAGGTTGCTTGCCTTTTCGGATGCCTCACAGCTGCCCTGCTTTGGTTATAGGGACCCGGACTTGGGGGTGTTAGTCGCCTCGACTTTGGTTTCATCTGCACCCCTAGTCCTTCCCCTGCTGTGGTTCATCCTTCTCCCGCCCCCCACCCCGCTGCTCCCGGCTCTCAAACATTTGAGGTTTTGGAGTCAGGGCAGGGTTTGCCTGGTGGTGAGTCTTGGGTGACTTCAGGGATTGCCCCTTTTGGATCGGCGGCGGAGGCATTCGAGCCTGTTCCTCATGCCGAAGCTTTTGGGTCATGTCAGCTGGCCATCATCATCCCTGCTTTTTCTGGTGGACTCTGCCTTTTCTCCAGATGCAGAGGATTTGGAGGACGGCTTGGCCCCCGGGTCCTGATGTGGAGGATCCCGGGGCTGGGGTGTTGGTCCTCTGTCTTGGGTGTTAGTACCCTCAGTGAGCGGCTTGTTGTTGTTACAGGGGGGGGTTCCTATCCCTCCCCTCCCTGTACGATTTTTATATGAGTTCAACTTCTCCCTGGGTTCGGTTCTGGGTTCCCTTGGGTTCTTCAGTTCCCTTCTTCGAGGTTTTCAACTTCCCGCATCACACCGAAGGTGGTGCGGGTAGCCCTTGTGGCTTATCTCCTGTGAGACCCGGATTACGCCTCGATAACGGATCCTTCTTTCAGGTTTGGCCCCTTGTTTCCTTACTGGGTGCGTTATGAGGTGCCAGAATCTTCTTGGCTGGCAGACTGCCCTTTCTTTTCGTTGAGGGAATGGCATTCGTTCTGTCGGACTCGCTCGCTTAAATGGCGGGAGTTGACTACTGTCGTTCAGGTTTACCTGGGGGAGAGTTTGAGCACCTCAATGTGTGCTTGTTCCCCACCATCCTTCCTCGTGATGTCGGCCAGGTACAGCTTCACGTGCAGGTTCCCTTCCTTTTGGCATCTCTGGTGGCCGAGGATTTGCGTGCCCGTGGGCATTTGACTTCAGTCTTGCGCTTATTTTCCCTGCAGGAGCTGTCTTTGGACTGGCTTGGGGAGGATGTAGAGGAGCTAAGATCCGGGCCAGTGTCCAGTGTATTTGCTTCAGCAGCTCGGTCGTCAGCTGCCTTGTTGAAGTTGTTTGCGTTGATTCTGAAGGAGGCGGTGTCTCTGTTCTTTACTTCTCGCTTCGTGAGCTGACAGGTGGTGCTCGTCCATTCTTTGGAATCCGCTTGGGCCCTGGCTCTTGGATTTTCATCCACTTTTTATCCATTGCTGTTTGCAGAGTCTGCTGTGGTGCATTTTCTGCAGGCGGATTCGTCTAGTTGCCGGCCTATGTCAGACTTGTTGGTTCTCGGGGGGGGGGGGGGGGGGTGGGGGCACTTCCTTCCTGCATGGAAAGAAGTGCCAAGTCTCGGGGTTCCTTCAGTTGTCGTAAGCCAGTAGTAGTGCCAGATTCGGGACCGGTCCCTCCTGCGGAGCCTTCAGCATCTGGTCTCGACCCTTTCACGGTTCGCCCTGTTGACGGGGGTAATATGGGGAAGGCACGCATTGTTTGCTCTTGCCTGGTCCCATGATTCGTGGGCATTTCGTGTTGTTATTTCCGGCCTGCAGTAGCTTTGGGTCGTTTCTCCTCCTACGGGGGCGACAGTACGGTTCTGCCGTGGGGCGACAGTATGGTTTTGTCATGGGGCGACAGGCTTACTACTTTCGTTGCCTTCCATTCGCTTTGAATCTGGCACCTCGCGTGTTTACACACCTTACCTGGATTGTGGTGATCCGTTTGTGTCTATTAGGGGTTTGGGTTCTGACCTACCTCGACAATTAGCTGGTGTGGGCTCCCAGCCAATCCACATGTTGGTTCACCAGGAATTTGGTTCTTTCCCAGCTCGTCGAGATCGGGTTCTTGGTGAACTGGAGGAACTCTCATTTGGTTCCCTCTCAGGTTCGGACTCGGCTGGGTCTTGTGTGGGACTCTCAGACCGCTTCCTTGTCTCTCCCTCCTTGTTGCAGCTGTGGTCCTGCCTACGACTGTTTTTGAAGGGCACCCAGGTCACAGGTCGGTTGTTTGAGCGGCTGTGCAGGAGACTGAACTTTGCTGTGCTGGTCTACCCGTCAGGTCGATCTGGTTTTGGTGGCTGTCCTGGTTTCTTCGGGGAGGTCCCTTCCGCCGCTCTCGCGATCGCTGGGTTCGGATCATGGGAGTCTTGCGTCGGCTGCTGCGCTGCCGGCTTCCTCTGCGGGTTTTAAGGGGTTCTGTGCCGTGGCATCTCCCTGTAACACCGTAAAGGTGTTTTGTATTTAATATATACATAGTACAGGAGTCAGACAAGTTTGAGAGGCGCCAGGTTGGCGGCCCCTAGTAATTAAGAAAGTCACACCTCTAGAGTGTTAATGACCACCAAGTGACCAAGGTCAGGTCGTGTGAAGTAGACCTGGTTGCTGCTAAGCTCATAATTGTAACTGAGTATCTGGGTGGGTCCTTTCAAACAAGCCGCCAGTTTAAGGTGTGGTTTGGTAGAGTGCCTGGGGCTATCTACTTGTGGGCGGAGTTAGCTAGTTGGCCCCCAGTATATACTGAGGGAGCTGTAGATTCAAGAGGAAGAGACGGAGAACAGCCAGCAGAGCAGAATAGAGGACAGCATTGCCAGGGAGACTGTCAGCCGGACGGGGTGGGACAGTCTCTGTCAACTACAGACCCTCTGCCCCCCTCTATCCAGTTATAGGCAGAGACTTGAGGAGTTGAACATGAAAGGTGACTTATTTCGTGTACTAAGATGTTGTGTGATCTCTAGGGGCAGACAGCTGTAGTGACTCTCAAAGTTCTGTGTGGTGGCTCACATTGTTTATCTGGACATAATGAACCTTCAGTTCGATTGCTTGAATTCTGATATTTATCATGCTAAATAAATAATTGATTCGCTTACTTTAAATTTTATTTTAATTGTGTTCACAAGTTCTTGGAATTTCTGATATATGCAAACTAGAGTGTAAAATACTCTTGAGTTAGGGGACTAAAAGAATCTTGTCTGGAACATGATTCCAGTTAAAACATGCTAATAATGACCTGTTTATACATCTTTGAGAATTTTGTGATACCGACAAGTTCCATTCCTTGTCTTGTATGTAATGGACTAGAATGGATGGTGGCAGTCTACCTTCTACTTCTACTTATCTACCCTTCTACCTCTACCTCGCCTACTCACTTCCTACTCCCTCTCCTCTCCCTCCACCTCTCTTTCCCCTGTCCCTTTCACCTGATGACCCTCATTACTCCCACCCACTCCTCCCTCCTCCCTACCGCCCTCACCCCAAACCCTCGCTAATTACTTCATTATTCATCTCTTTCCTTTCGTTTCTCTTATATGTTCGTGGCAGTGAACTGTTCTAGAGTTCTCTGGAGTTGCGAGTAGCTGATCAAGTTACAATGCCTTATGTTCATGATACCTAGGTAATCAAATACCTAGGTCACAAGGTGTTGAATTAGGGAGGCTGCAGTAGGAACTCTGGGGAGAACTCTAGAATAGCTAACTGGGGGGTGGGATAATGGACAAAAGAGCTATTTCCCCCACCCCACTGTTAGAATAGTTAGCTAGGGGCGGGATAATGGACAAGAGGAGAAGAGCGATTTCCCCCCACCCACCGTTACATCCCCAAGCCCTCACTCGATGTGTTCACAGATGCCTCGTCTCTTGGCTGGGGTTTTGTGATCAGTGCCCACCAGGCCGGCCAGGTTTGGTGAAGTCTGTCCTTCTGTCGAGCTCACTGCATCGTGTGGCATTCGCGTCGGAGAGTTTGTGTTGCTTGCGGAACAACGATCCGTCTACATTCGGACTGCTCCCTTGTGGTTCACTGTCTGAACCATGGGGGTTTGATGCGGTCCTTGGCTCTTTGGGGCTGGTCGCTTCAGGTGACTCGTCTGCTGAGTTATCGGGGTTTGACTCTCCTTGCGGTTCACGTTCAGGGGGTGTCAAATGTCCTGGCTGACGGCATGCCTCGGTTCATTCCCCTATCCATGGAATAGACAGTCGATGCCAACTTGTTCAGTTGGCTCTGCCGGATGTACGGGCACTCGGAGGTGGACCTCTTCACATCGGAGTGGTTGAGGCATCTTCCAGTGTATGTGGCACCCTTCCCATATTGTGAGGCCATCAGGGTCGATGCCTTTTGGCTGGACTGGTCGAGGTGGGGTTACCTGTATCTTTTCCCACCGGTTCAGTTGTTGCTTCTGGTCCTTGCTCGCTTGGAGACTTACCAAGGGAGAGTAGTCCTGTTGGCTCCTTGGTGGCCAGCCCAGTCCTGATTTCAGGCACTTCTTGCTCGATGTCCGACCCCGAGGGTCTTCCTGCGGCTCCGCCTCTTTAGGCAGATCGGTCAGGTCTGGTACATGGCTGGTTCGATCTTCAACTCCATTCTTCGCATCTGGTCTTTTTGACGCGGGTTTATCACTGGTTGTATGGTAATCAGGTGGCTTTGTTGATGGTGTCCCACCTGCAAGTTTCGTCTCAATGGCAGTATGCAATTTCCTGGCTGTCCTTTTGGCACGTTTTGTCTCTTCGTAGGTTGTCTTCGATTTCTGATAGAGTTGTTTTGTCCTGTCTTTCTTGGTTGTTTCAGGACCATCATCTTATGCCAAATACTGTTGCCTCGTATTGTGCGGCACCGGCGGAGCCACTGCAGCTTGCATTTAAGGTGGATGTCACTTCTGTTCCATTCCGCGAGCTTTCTCAGGCGTTGTTTCATCTCTGGCCTGCTCGTGCGCTGCCCGAGCCGTCCTAGTCGTTGGACCAAGTGCTCTATTTTCTCTCTTCTCCTCGGTTTGTGGTGGTCCCCTCGGTTCAGGACTGTTTTCTAAGGCTCTTTTCTTGTTAGCATTGGCCTCTGGGGGTCGGGTTGGGAAGCTTCATGCTCTCCTCCGGCGCAGGGGGTTTCTGCTTTTTCAGTCTTGGTGGTCGTTTCGTTCTTTGCAGCCTTCTCCTCCTTTTCTGGCGAAGAATGAGTCTGCTGCTTCCCAAATGACTCCTTGGGTTGTTTATGCTTGGCTGGTTCCGCCGGGGATGCATCATGTTTTGTGTCCGGTTGCAGCTCTTCGCTGTTATTTGCGTGCCACGGCCTCTGTGGCAGGGGATGCACTTTGGGTGGACCCGGTTTCACTTTTTCCCTGTTAGAGGGTGCGGGGTCTCCCAGGTCATCCACAGGAATATTCGGTCCAGCCAGCCTGCAGTCTATCCCCATGCCCACGATGTTCGTATGTTTGCGGCTTTGGCTGCTGTTTTTGTTAATATGTCCTAGGCTGACATTCTGGCACAAGGCTTTTTAAGGTCGAACAGGGTCCTGGCTGCACGGTACCTTGTTAATGTTCCTGGCCCTTCTCGGGAATGTGTAACCTTGGGTCGCAGGTTAGGTTAGGTTAGGAACACTTCTGGGTGCCTAACCCCGGTCAATGGCAGATAAGGAAAACCCCTAACCATAAGGGGGGTTTTCCAGGGGACATTGCTCCCTGTGCCTCTCAGAGGGTGCCAGGTTCTGGCTCGTGATCTCCAGTAGGCTGAACTCCATTGACTAATGTCCTGGTCTAATGTTTCGCATATCAGCCCGATAGATCCAGGGAGCCTCTGGGGCTCACCCAGAAAATAGTGTTTCATTACATTCAGCGCTGGTTTTGTGCTTCATGTTGAATGGCTGTGGTACTAGCAGCTGTTTTTGTATAGGTAACTGGAGGCATATTCTTCATTTACATCATGCTCAAATTATGACATATTGTGGCTAAAAGAATGTCAACTTTAACAAAGGTATAGGGCTAGAAAATAAAATACTGTTCCATCAAATATCAGGATCATTATATACAGAACTCTATAAACAATGGATCAATCGGCTCAACAGATTTCCTGTCTAAAAATTTGTATCTCTAATGAAAATTTAATCACATCCAGAAAGGAATGTAATGAAATCCTGATCATTGATTGAGCTTGTAAAGTAATTTCTGTCAAATCATATATTTTCTATTATTTGTTCTATGTTTTTTGTTTACAAACACAGTCTTACTTTATTTTATCAGAATATTAACATTTAATTCAATTATTTTTTCAGGAGAGTATGCTTGGAATGATCATATTGGAAATCCAGGCTTGCTGCATAGTGCTTGTTTGGAGGGAACTATTGACCCATCTCTGAGTGTAAAGCTTTCAGTGCATTACAAAGATCGAGAACCTGTATCATTCACCTGCAACTGTGAGTGCTTGTACAATTTAAAATGGGAGTATTCTGTAAAATATTTTCTGTTACAATGCAGAAGGAAAGTACAATAATAAATTTAGCACTACTGTATACAGTGGTATCTTGGGTTACGAATTTAATCCGTTCCAAGAGACGGGTTGTAACTTTAAAATTCGTAACCGGAAATGAATTTTCCCATAAGAATGAATGTAAATTGAATTAATCCGTTCCGCACTCGCAAAAATATTAACTTCAAAATACATTTCATACATAATAAACACACATTTTGTACTATAGTATGTACAAGTTATAGCTTACCTTTATTGATAACTTGTTGGCATTTGGAAGATGGTGAGGAGGGGGTGGGGAGGAGGAGAGGTGTTACTGTTTAGAAGGGGAGTCCCCTTCCATTATAACATCAGGCAGTGATGACTTTTCTGGGGTACATTTTCTCCCACATATTGCCTGCATACCACTAGGACCTGGTTGTGGCTCACTGCTTGTTTTCCTCACTAAGAACCTTTCCATAGAGACTTGTTTTTCCCTATGTTTTAGCATTTGTCTGTAGTGAGGCATCACGTTGTCATTGAAAAGGTTAAGGCAACGACCTACTGCAGCTTGATTTGGGTGAGTCGTTTCAACAAAACATTGCATTTCTTCCCATACTGCACACCACTTCTTAAGTGTTAAAGAAGGAACATTCTGTCTGCCTCCTTCCCCTGAAGAAATTTCCTCAGCTGTCTCTTGTTGCTGCTCCATGTGAAGGGCTAGGAGTTCTTCGGTGATCAGTTCTTCCCAGTGTTCCTCCACCAACTCCTTCGTATCAGCATCATCCATCTCCAAGTCCAATTGTCGGCCCAGAGAAACAATTTCCTCAACAAGTGGCACTTTGTTCAAGCTGAAACCCCTCAAAGTCTCGTTGTGCAACTCATTCAGGCCACAATTTTCCCCAGCCAGAGATCATGGTTCTTAGTCACTTCTTGCCAGGCTTTGTCTATGAGTTTTAAAGCACTATGAATGTTAAAATAGTTTTTCCAGAACTCTTTGAAGGTGAGATTTGTGGCATCAGTCAGTTCGACACATCTCTAGAAAAGTGCCCTTACATAAAGTTTCGTAAAATTGGAAATGATTTTCTGGTCCTTAGGCTGAAGTAAAGGAGTGGTGTTGGGAGGAAGGAACTTTACTGTGACAAAACTAAATTCCTCCGACAGTGACTCCTCCAAGCCTGGAGGATGAATAGGAGCATTGTCGAGGAGAAGCAGGGTGTTGAGTGGCAAACTGTTCTCCTGCAGATATTTTTTTATGGAAGGGCAAACCACTTCATTCACTCACTCGAGAAAAAATTGCCTTGTCACCCATGCCTTACTATTAGCCCTCTACATCACACACATTTTGCTTTTCTACACATTATATTTTTTGAAAACCCTTAGATTTTCAGAATGATACACAAGCAAGGAGTTTAATTTTCAATTCGCCACTCGCATTACCACACAGCACAAGAGTTAGCCTATCTTTCATAGGCTTGCGTCTGGGCAATGACTTCTCCTCCAGAGTAATAAATAAATAAATATAATAAATAAATAAATGTTTATTCAGGTAAGGTACATACATACAAGAGATTTTACATAAATTGATAGATTTATAGATAGAGCTAGTACATACAATGCCTAAAGCCACTATTACGCAAAGCGTTTCGGGCAGGATGTCCTGCCCGAAATAATGTATGTCCTCTTCGGCAGTCTTTTCCAGAATAGCCCTGTCTTGTCACAATTAAACACTTGTAGGTATCCCTCACTCTCTACAAAATCTTTAAATTTGCCAACAAATCTTTCAGCTGGTGGTTTGTCTGAGCTGGCAGCCTCCCCATGCCTCACAACACTATGAACGCCACTTCTTTTTCTAAATTTCTCAAAATATCCCCTGCTCGCCTTAAACTCTTTTGTATCTGCATCACTCGTCCCGGGGGGTTTCTTTATAAGATCTTCATGCAATAGCCTTGCCTTTTCACAAATGATGGCTTCTGAAACGTAATCACCTGCTAACTCCTTGTTGTGTATCCAAATTAATAATAACTTTTCGACATCCTCAAGTGTTTGTGTTCTTTGTTTCGGGATTATTGAAATGACTTTTGCCACTTTAGCACTCATAATGTTCTTTTTCTTAGTAAGTATGGTGGATATCATTGACATAGATTTGTTGTACTGCCTAGATCAACAACCCGCATACCATCTTCATGTTTACGAATGATCTCTTGTTTTTCCTCTATGTAAACAACACAACTTTTCCCTGCTAATTGTTCCATTCACCTTGGCTCTAGGAGACTCGATCCGCAGGCCCCACATGTGAGAGAGGTCGAAGCTCTATGGAAGCTATTTATGGTCATTCTCACGTGTGTTTTCTTAGGTTGAACCTTACCACTGACTTTGTTGGGAACCATGATATATAAAAATTACTTTTATTTAAAAAAACAAAAATGCATAAAAACAATTAAATTCTTTACAAAGAATTCAAGCACGATCGTCACTTAGCGGGCAGTCTGGTAAATTGAAGTGGGGTCGCCCGTGTCTCCAGGAACCATGCGCTTGGTTGACCCATACATGTATCAACAAAGTTCCAAGTTGAGGCAAAGGTCGTAACTCAATTTGAATTTTCCGACGAAATTGGGATCTTAACCCGAAAAATTTGTGAGTCGAGGTTCCATTGTATTCATAAGTTTTTGTTCTAAATGTAAAATATTTTATAGCTATTGCTTATGCTAATTTATTAGTACAGTACACTTCCACTTATCACGATAATGTGTGGTGGCTGTTTATTCTAAAATCTGCTTAAATGAAGAGAGGGGCTTGGTAAGGCTGGTGGTGAGTGTGTTTCATGCATCTCTCCACAACAGCATTGTTAAACATGCAATTTTTTCCAAGTGTATTATAAGTTCTTGCATTAATAGACAATTTATCACATTATTTAGTTCAGAGAAAAATACAACTGTTCCCTGCTAATTGTTCCATTCACCTGGGCTCTAGGATACTCGATCCGCAGGCCTCACATGTGAGAGAAGCCGAAGCTCTATGGAAGCTATCTATCGAAGGAGACTTGATCTGCAAACCTCACGTGTGTGAGGTGTAGCTCTATTTTCCTGCTAATTACCTTCCCGTGATCCAGAGAATAATGTTAAAATTATAGGCTTACCTTACCTTGAGGTGCTTCCGGGGCTTGGCGTCCCTGTGGCTCGGTCGTCGACCAGGCCTCCTGGTTGCTGGACTGATCATCTAGGCTGTTGAACGCGGCTGCTCACAACCTGATGTAGGAGTCACAGCCTGGTTGATCAGGAATCCTTTGGAGGTGTTTGTCAAGTTCTCTCTTGAACACTGAGGGGTCTGCCAGTTATGCCCCTTATGTGTAGTGGAAGCGTGTTGAACAGTCTTGGCCCTCTGATGTTAATAGAGTTCTCTCTCAGAGTACCTGTTGCACCTCTGCTTTTCAACGGGGATATTCTGCACATCCTGCCATGCCTTCTGGTCTCGTGTGATGTTATTTCTGTGTGCAGGTTTGGGACCAGCCCTCAATTATTTTCCACGTATAGATTATTATGTATCTCTCCCGCCTGCGCTCAAGGGAATACAGATTTAGGCTCTTTAGTCGGTCCCAGTAGTTTAGATGTTTTACTGATATATATATATATATATATATATATATATATATATATATATATATATATATATATATATATATATATATATGCAAACAAGCCTGAATGGTCCCCAGGACTATATACAACTGAAAACTCACACCCCAGAAGTGACTCGAACCCATACTCCCACAACTGGTATGTACAGGGACGCCTAATCCGCTTGACCATCACGACCGGACAAAAGGAAGTGATAGCCGAGGCTATATGAACCACTTCCCCGCCGGCACTCGGATGGTAATCTTGGGCATAGCATTTTATCAAATCACCTCATTCTTTGGGGCACACGTGAGGAACACAAATGCAAACAAGCCTGAATGGTCCCCAGGACTATATACAACTGAAAACTCACACCCCAGAAGTGACTCGAACCCATACTCCCACAACTGGTATGTACAGGGACGCCTTAATCCGCTTGACCATCACGACCGGACAAAAGGAAGTGATAGCCGAGGCTATATGAACCACTTCCCCGCCGGCACTCGGATGGTAATCTTGGGCATAGCATTTTATCAAATCACCTCATTCTTTGGGGCACACGTGAGGAACACAAATGCAAACAAGCCTGAATGGTCCCCAGGACTATATACAACTGAAAACTCACACCCCAGAAGTGACTCGAACCCATACTCCCACAACTGGTATGTACAGGGACGCCTTAATCCGCTTGACCATCACGACCGGACAAAAGGAAGTGATTCAGGCTTGTTTGCATTTGTGTTCCTCACGTGTGCCCCAAAGAATGAGGTGATTTGATAAAATGCTATGCCCAAGATTACCATCCGAGTGCCGGCGGGGAAGTGGTTCATATAGCCTCGGCTATCACTTCCTTTTGTCCGGTCGTGATGGTCAAGCGGATTAAGGCGTCCCTGTACATACCAGTTGTGGGAGTATGGGTTCGAGTCACTTCTGGGGTGTGAGTTTTCAGTTGTATATAGTCCTGGGGACCATTCAGGCTTGTTTGCATTTGTGTTCCTCACGTGTGCCCCAAAGAATGAGGTGATTTGATAAAATGCTATGCCCAAGATTACCATCCGAGTGCCGGCGGGGAAGTGGTTCATATAGCCTCGGCTATCACTTCCTTTTGTCCGGTCGTGATGGTCAAGCGGATTAAGGCGTCCCTGTACATACCAGTTGTGGGAGTATTTAAGGGGGCGTCAGAGGATTATAGATGAAAGTTGTTCAATGTCAACCAATATTAATTTTCTAGTTGTATATGAAAAGTGCTTAAATTGTCCCAAGTTTCAGTACTGCAGCGTAAATAGAAAGTTTTTTTTTTTTTTTTTTTTTTTTTTTTTTTTTTTTTTTTTTTTTTTTTTTTTTTTTCCCAACGTTTTTTACACATTTTCAAGTCCACACTTCAGAACACACGTTTCAGATATAATTATTCTGTGACACTTTTCTGACACATTAGCATATAATAAAGGATTTGGGGCTTTAGAATTTCCAAAACATCTTTAGTTTTCCTAATACAAATGTTCAAAGTTCCCATCCAATTTTTTTGCAAATATGGCATGTTTATTGCTATTATAAAATCAATAAATGAACTTAGAGAAAAATGAAAGCCCCCCAATGTAGAGACATGCCCTCCACATATACTGTGTAAGTTTCATGTAAATTGAATAAAAAAGGAATCAGTTTTGTAAACGTTTGTGTCAATTGAAAAAAAAAACAGAAATGAATAAAGTCTAAGGTTCTAAAATCTGTGGCTGAGGTTGACATCAACCAATTTTCTCCAAAATTGGCATCCTTACAGATAGGCTTACGTACAGTCAGGTGTGTAAGTTTGATGCAAATCGCCCGAAAAAAAATGAAAAAAAAAATATTGAAAAAAAAAAAGATTTTTTTTTTTTTTTTTTTCTTAAAATTTTTTTCCAATTAAACTAATTATAATATTTGTTTAATATATGCTATTGTGATAGCAAAGAGTCGTAGCTATGATTTCAGTTGACACTTTTGATTGATAATCGATTTTGACCATTTTTGCATAATTTTCACAACTACTTCAATATTTTTTTTCTCCCTTCCTATTTATGCTACGATGCTGAAACTTGGACCAGATGAAACACTTTTCATATAGAACTTGTCAAAAAAGTTTGATTGAAATCGAACGAGTTTTCATTTTTGCATTTTTGGACCCAGATGCCAACCAGACGCCCCCTTAAGAGTACATTTTGAGTATTTTGAGGTGGTCCCAATGTTTTACTGTGGATGTAAATACAGTTTGTTCTTTGTATTCCTTCTATTTCAGAAATCCTGAATGCATTTTGTTGATAGGACAAATTGGCCAGTGGAATATCTTTTGTTATTGAAAATGCAACTTAAAGTGAAAGAATTAAATGATAGATACAGTAACTGAACCTAGACCTAGCACAAGATAAAAGAAATAAACAGAAATGAAATGGAAAGGGAGTGGGAAAGAGGTAGGGGTGAGAAAAGATTGAAAGTTCGATTCCTGCGGTAGAACAGAATTATTTAAGTAATGTTTCCTTTGACCTGATACCTTTGCTTTCCTAGTAGTAAATAGGTACCTTTGGGTTAATTAGCTGTTGTAGGCTACATCTAGGGGATGGTCAGTAATTGTTCTAGTAGTTATTGATAGTTGGGGATCCTGGACAGGATAGAAATTGTTGGGCATGTTTCCTTTGTTCTTTTGTTCACGTAGCAGTAAATAGTTACCAAGCAGTTAGGCAATTGTTGTGTGTTGCATCCTAGGAAAGGTTAATAATTTGACCTAGGGGGACCTTGACACAAGCCCAATTACAGGCTTCCTGTCCCTGACAGTGGGAGTTATTTTACATGCACTCACACACAGGAATGCCTGAAACTGGCAACCTCAAGAATAAGTGGCCATAGATTCAAGCTAAGGAAACAAAAGGTGCCCAAAAAAATATTAGAAAGTTTTCTTTTGCTGTCAGAGTGGTAGACGGTTGGAACAAATTGTGAAAAAGTTGTGAAAAACCAAAACCATCAGTAGTTTCAAAGCATTACAGTATATGACAGTACAGTACTATGAAGACGGGACACCACGAGCATAGCTCTCGTCCTGTAACTACACTTAGGTAATTACACACACACACTAGGAACCAGGGATTATTTTGTTCTAGATTGACTATATAATCTAACTAGATAATCTATATAATCATAAAACTTTGACCAAGAGACAAAAGGCCTGGGAAGGAGAGTTGACTATAGGAAAGGGGATTACCAGGAGGATAAGAGAATATCTGAGGGATGTACAGTGAGAGGCAAAATAATAAAAGAAATGATGAACCTAGTCAAATGGAAATGCAAGGAGGCTGAAGAGAGTTTCATACCAACAGTAAGGGAAAAAGTTGGAGGGAATATAATAACCCATGGTTTAATAGACAGTATCAGGAAGCAAAAATGAGAAGTAGAAGGGAGTGAAGGAAGTAGAGTGGACAAAGGAAAACAGGAGTAGATGCAACAGAGCTAGGAACGAATACATAAATATAAGGAGAGTATTGGAAAAAATTACGAGAACAGTATTGTTATCAAAGCATAAAAGCAACCTAAATTACTACATAGTCATATCTGAGGGAAAGTGACAGTGAACGATTAAGTGACAAGACTACAGAAAACAGGAGGGGGGCATATACAGAAAGCGATAAGGAAATTTGTGAGGTACTGAATGCCAGTTTCCATGCCAGAATGCCATGCAATGCCAGTATTCACAACCGAGCTTGAGCAGCTTCTATTATTAGACAAGATGATGACCCTAGATGATAGATGCTCAGATATAGAGATGATAGCAGAGGAGGTAATGAAACAACTACAATAGCTGGATGAAACTAAAACAGTTGGACCAGACAACTTATCATGGGAGTTTTGAATTGTTCCCTATACCTAACCAACCACTTGGGCTGGATGGTAAGAGCGACAGTCTCGCTTCATGCAGGTTGGCGTCCAAGTGGTTGGGCACCATTCCTCCTCCCCATCCCATCCCAAATCCTTATCCTTACCCCTTCCAAATGTTATATAGTCATAATGGCTTGGCACTTTCCCCTGATAATTCCCTTCCTCCCTTTACCTAAAAGCACCGCATGGCGCTCTGCACACCCCTGATTGGGTGCCTTAAGGTGCTCTGCACAGTGTAGTGGTTAATGAGTCACTTGGAAAGAGGTTATCTTGATGATTTCGGCCTGGTCTTCAACAGGCCTCCTTTTTGTTACACACCCCTAGGAAGCAGCCCGTAGCAGCTGTCTAACTCTCAGGTACCTATTTACTGCTAGGTAACAAGGGCATCAGGGTGAAAGAAACCTCTGCCCATTTGTTTCCACCTCCACTGGGGATCGAACCCAGAACCTCAGGACTACAAATCCGAAGTGCTGTCCATTCAGCTGTCAGGCCCCACTGACAGCCGTTGCAAGGTATCAAAAGAAGGCAAGGTATTTACCAAAAGCACTCACTGTGAAATTTAGTAAGAAAATATTCATATCTTCTTGATGCAACTGCTCACATAATATCTTTGATTATAGGTTTGCTGGTAGGCATTCCACAATTAATGATGTGCATGTCATTTTGTCTGTCAAGGTTAAATGGTTGACCACTCTGACAGTCTCAATAAGACTAACAGGCTTTCTGTTCCTAACAATGTATTGTAGAACAAAATATAGTTTTTTGTGTGTCACTACCCATTATTGTTGTGTTTTAAAAGATTGCAGTGTCTAGATATTATTCTTAAAAAGTATAAAAGTTGCCTGTTGAACAAATCATACTATTTTCTTTGCAGTGGACTCAAGTGTGGAGCATGTTGTAATGCACACTGTTTGCACCTTAGAACTTCCTGGTGAATCTGCAGACTACATTCTTAAGGTAAGCCATGTTGATTCCTCTATCTGTGTGTCTGTAAATGACTAGATATTAGTATATGTTGAAAGTGGTTTTCCTTATAGACCTGTTATTGAAAATAAACAAATATAAATGTGTGTGCTTACCTGTCAGTGACTATGAGGAAGTGAGATATAGCTCTTTATTCCTTGCCTTATACATGACACAGAAATTGCCTCTCTCTCTTAATATAAATGTTTTCATCATGTTTTCTTAGTGTTATGTTGTTGGCTTGAACAAGCTCTTCCTTCAATGCATTCCACTTCCTGACCATCCATGCAGTGACCGAGAACTTCCTTATATCTTTGACTAATAAATCAAAATAATAATAATTTAAATTTAAGAAATAGAGCAGAGCTGAAATAATTATACCAGACTGAAATTTGAACAAAAAGCCATGCAAGAGATAAAGAACAATCCAAAATATTTCTTTACATATTCCAAATCAAAATCCAAACCTTCACTAGAATTGGATCTATATTTACATGAGAAGGTTCGTGTACAGACGACAAAGAAATTAGTGAAATTTTAAAAGATCAGTATAAGGCTATGTTTAGCACCCTAATAAACAACACAAAAGCAGATGTGAACAGCTTCTTTATGAATGATATCCCAAAACCAGAAAATATAACTGATATCAGTGTCATCACTGCAGAGTTTGAAAGAGAAATTGACAACATGCCTATACAATCAACCAAGGTCTAAACTCTTGGAATTACATGTTTATAAAGAAGCGCAAAGTGCCAGTAGCGTGAGTGCTCAGTGTAGTTTGGAGAATGTAGCAACAGTAAAAGATATTTCATAAGTCAACACTGGCTTTCTGTGGTGAGCCCCTTTGGCTCCCTGGAGGTATCAGGCTGATATGTTATATTAGTCGGGGCATCAGTCAATTGGAGTTCAGCCTGCCAGGAAATCACAAGCCAGAACCTGGCCCCACTCAGAGAGGCAAAGGGAGCAATGGCCTATGGAAACTCCCCATGTATTTGGGGCATTCCATGTCTGCCATCGAACAAGGTTAGCTCCGACCCTGTCCCTCAGGTGGGTTTCCCACCTGTTTCCAGTACCATAATGGTACTGTGTGGATCTGCAGTTCATTCTAGACTTCTGTCTGAACCCCTGGATTCCTTGCTCCTCCTTTCTGATGACCACTGTCTCAAGTCCAGCTTTTGTTGGAGCTGGGGGCCTGGATGGTGTCCCAGGACCTCAGGAGATGCATATTGGCATGTTCCTATTCATCTGGGGTTCAGGGACTGGTTGGGTTTCGTTGTGGGGTGTCAGGCTTACCGCTTTTGTTGCCTTCCCTTTGCCTTGAATCTGGCACCTCACGTGTTCATGAGTCTTACCCGGGTTATGGTGACCTGTCTGCTTCTGTTAGGGGTTCGGATTCTGGCTTACCTTGACGACTGATTGGTGTAGTCTCCCAGCCAATCCTGACCAATCCTGCCTGTCTGCTCGCCAAGGATGTAGTTCTTTCCCAATTTGCCAGGTTCGTGTTCCTGGTGAAATGGAGGAAGTCCCATCTGGTTCCGTCTAGGTTTGGACCTGGCTGGGTCTCGTGTGGGAATCTTGGACTGCTTCTTTGTCTCTCTCTCTGGAGTCCTTGCTGAGGCTGCTGTCACCCCTTCAGCTGTTTCGGAGGGTTCCCGCATCACTCGACGGTTGCTCAAGCAATTGTGCAGGAGTCTGAACTTCGCCGTGCTGGTTTTCCCGCCGGGTCGGGTCTGGCTTTGGCGTTTGTTCTGGTTTCTCCAGGGTCCTCCCTGCTGCCTCTCTCATGATCGCTGGGTTCGGCCTCTGAGGGCCTTGCATCGGTTGTTGTGTCACTGGCTTCCTCTTCGGGTTTTTCAGGGTTCAGTGCCTTGAGACCTACCCGAGCCCTTGCTTGATGTGTTCACTGATGCCTTGTCTCTCAGCTGGGGCTTTGTGACCAGTGCTCACCAGGTTGGACAGGGTCGGTGGGGTCCGTCCTTTCGTCGGGATCACAGCACGGTGCAGAAGTTTGCGGCAGTGTAGCTTTCACTTAAGAAGGTTCATGTTGGTTGCAGATCGATGATTCGGCTACTTTCGGACTGCTCTCCAGTGGTTCATTGCCTGAACTGAGGGGGTTCAATGCACCCCTTGGCTCTTTGGGTCTGGTCGCTCCGGGTGACTCATCTGCTGAGTTCTCAGGGTTTGGCTCTCCTGGCAGGTCATATCCAGGGGGTGTCCAACGTCCTGATGGATGATCTGTCCCATTTCATTTCCCCGTCCACAGAATGGACGGTCAACAACACCTTGTTCCTTTGGCTCTGCTGGATGTTCGGGCGTCTGGAGGGGGATCTCTTCGCGTCGTTGTGGTCGATGCGTCTCGGTTTATGTGTCGTCCTTCCCCAACATCGAGGCTGGTGTGGTCGATGCCTTTCGACTGGGCTGGTCGAGGTGGGGTTACCTGTGCCTCTTTTCCCCGGTTCGGTTGTTGCGCCAGGTCCTGGCTCTCTTGGAGACTTGTCAGGGGAGAGTAGTCCTGTTGTACCTTTGGTGGCTGGTCCAGCCTTAGTTTCAGGTGCTGAATGCTTTGTGACTGAACCCGAAGGTCTTCTCGCGGCTCCGCCTCTTTTGGCAGATTGATCCAGTCCGGTACGTGGCTGGTTCGATCTTCTGCTTGATACCTGCTTAATGGGGTTCTGGGACTTCTACTCCCCAAACCTGGCCTGAGGCCAGGCTTGACTTGTGAGTTTGGTCCACCAGGCTGTTGCTTGCAGAGGCCCGCAGGCCCCAACCCGTTCTCGTAAATTTAATAAGTCAATATTGACTTATTAAATATGTGCATAGGTGACATACTTAACATAATAGTTTCCCTTGAAAAGCTTCAGAGAAAACACCGACCTTACCTAACCTACTTAGTATGTTAAGATAAGCATCTTATTGCTTCGTAATTACAATTATTACCTAACCTATACCTATAATAGGTTAAGTAACAATTGTAATTACGAAGCTAAAAGATGCTTATTTTAACATACTAAGTAGGTTAGGTAAGGTCGGTGTTTTCTATGAAGCTTTTCAAGGGAAACTATTATGTTTAGTATGTCACCTATGCACGCAACTAATAAGTCAATATTGACTTATTAAATTTGCGAGAACGGGTTGCAGGCCCACATACCCACCACAGCCTGGTTGGTTCGGCACTCCTTGGAGAAAACACTCTAGTTTCCTCTTGAAGGTGTCCATGGTTGTTCCGGCAATATTTCTTATAGTCGCTGGGAGGACATTGAACAACGTGGACCTCTGATGTTTATACAGTGTTCTCTGATTGTGCCTATGCCACCTCTGCTCATCACTGGTCCTATTCTCCTCCGATCTTCGCGTCTAGTCTTTTTGACCCAAGTTTCTCAACACATGTATGGTGATCAGGTGGCTTCATTGATGGTGTTCCACCTGTGTGTCTCATCTTGGCGGCAGTGTGAAGTCTCCTTTCGGTACTTCTTGACTCTTCGGAGGTTGTCTTCGATTTATGATCGGTTTGTTTTGTCCTTTCGCTTTTGGTTGTTTCAGGACCATCATCTTATGCCAAATACTGTCGCCTCGTATCATGCGGCGCTGGCGGAGCCACTTCAGCTTGCGTTCGGGGGTGGATGTCACTTCTGCTCCGTTCCTCGAGCTTTCTCTGGCATTGTTTCACCTCCGGCCTGCTCATGTGCCGCCTGAGCCGTCCTGGTCGTTGGACTGGGACTGAGCCGTCCTCTTTTTGTTTTATCTCTTCTCCTCAGTTTGTGGTGGCCCTTTCAATTCAGGACTTTTTCTAAGGCTCTTTTCTTGTTGGCATTGGCCTCTGGGGGTCGGGTTGGGAAGCTTCATGATCTTCGGCGGTGCAGGGGGTTTCTACTCTTTCGGTCCTGGTGGTCGTTTTGTTCATTTGTTGTCATTGTCTTCTTTTTTGCCGAAGAATGAGACTGCTGCTTTCCAGAGGGGTTCTTGGGTTGTTGATGCTTAGTTGGTTCAGCGGGGGGTGCATCATGTTTTGTGTCTGGTTGCAGCTCTTCGCGGTTACTTACGCGCCACGGCCTCAGTGGCCAGGGACGTGCTTTAGGTTGACCCGGTTTCCCTTTTTCCCTATTCCAGGGCATAGGTCTCCCAGGGTTGTCCGTAGGATTCTTTGGTCCAGCCAGCCTGTGGTCTATTCCCGTGTCCACGATGTTCGTAAGTTCGTGGCTTTGGCTGCTGTTTTTGGTAATATGTTCTGGGCTGACATTTGGGCACGGGGCTTTTGGAGGTCGAATAAGGTCCTGGCCGCATGGTACCTTGTTAATGTTCCAGGCCCTTCTCGGGTATGTGTTCCCTTGGGTCACAAATTGAAGCCAGTTGTCTCGCCTTTGAGTTGAGGAACGAATAGCGGCCGGTTAAATCCTTCTTTTCCTTTATCTTTGGTTAGGTAGCTCCAGGAAGCCAAAGGGGCTCTCCGCAGAAAACCAGCGTTGAATGTAATGAAACATCATTTTCTGGGTGAGACACCCGGAAGCTCCACAGCAACCCTCCCTTCCTCCGGTCGGCAGTTTTTTTGTTCTTAATATTCAACCTCTGAACTGAGTTTGAGTAGCTGGCACGGGAAGTCTGGGACCCCCCCTCCCAGGGAGGGGGGAGTTGCACAGACATCGGCTCAGTGGCTATGGTGACATCATGCTGATTTCCTTGTTTTTGATTAGGGAGTTCTGCTTGCTAGTTCGGCTTTTGGTTTGTAATTTTTAACCAGGTGTAGTTTGTTTTGGAATTCCTACCTTTCTTGGTGCCTGACCTAGTAGATGGCAGACATAGACTGCTTCCAATTACATGAGGGTGTCTATAGGCAATTGCTCCTCGTGCCTCTCTCTGAGGGGGGCCAGGTTCTGGCACTGGTCCCTGGTAGGCCTAGAACTCCATCGATTGACTGTTGCCATGGTTTAATAAATACACATCAGCTCGGTATAGCTCCGGGGAGAATTTGGGTCTCGCCCAGAAAATGACGTTTCATTACATTCAACGCTGGTTTTTTGTGCTTCATAATTTTATTTTTAATTCTTTCAGGTTAGGGGAGTGGATGACTATTTATCTGGAGAAACGATCCTTGGGGAATATGAATATGTACACAGCTGTATGAAATATGATGAAGATGTTGTCTTTACTCTTATGCATGCAGATTCTGTCAGGCAGTCATATTTGCGCACGGTAAGTATCGGGCAATAATTGTTTTTGTTATACTCAGAGATATCACACTTAGGTGATATATACATATCAATGAGAAAATTAGAGGGTTTGAGCCACCTCAGAGTGCCAGTTGATTTTCTCATTAATCACTTTTTGTGTTATACAGTATGTTTTGTTGTTAAAAAATACACAAACATTTATTAGCCATGATCTTATTCAACTATAAAGTTAAGTGTAGTTCTTGTGTTCTCTATACAGTACTTTTGAAGTAAACTTAAGTTTCAGTGCTGATGTTCTGCAGTGTTGGCTAATTATTCAAGAATTACATAGCAAATCATTAACTTTCAACTGAGATCTTTCAAAGAATAGGTTTTTATTGTGGTGGGTTTTATAAATGAAATACATATGGGACTGAATTATTGGAACATAACTCGACTCGTTATTGCCAAAAGATGAGTTTAGTACCTAATGTGGGTCTACATGCCTTTCTTCCTGTTTGCCTTTATATCTATCTACCCATTAGCTTGTCTATTGGCTTGCCTGATCTATTTGCTCATTGTACATTTTCACCATGCATTGGTTAACTGGATGGTGTATGGATCACAGGCTTCTGTTTCTTAACATAACCTTGCTGCACTCATAATGACCATGTACTGTGACAGTTAATGACCCACACACCTGCCATCCATCCGTTCCCTCCACCATCCAGTCCCCTTCCATCCATCCATCCAGTTTCCCTCTACAATCCATCCATCCAGTTCCCCCTCACCATCCATCCAGTTTCCCCTCACCATACCTTAAGGTTATCTTGAGGTGCTTCTGGGGCTTTTCCTTCCTTCCATCCATCCAGTTCCACCCTACCATACATTAAGGTTACCTTGAGGTGCTTCCGGGGCTTAGCGTCCCCGCGGCCCGGTCGTCGACCAGGCCTCCTGGTTGCCGGACTGATCAACCAGGCTGTTGGACGCGGCTGTTCGCAGCCTGACGTATGAGTCACAGCCTGGTTGATCAGGTATCCTTTGGAGGTGCTTATCCAGTTCTCTCTTGAACACTGTGAGGGGTCGGCCAGTTATGCCCCTTATGTGTAGTGGAAGTGTGTTGAACAGTCTCGGACCTCTGATGTTGATAGAGTTCTCTCTCAGAGTACCAGTTGCACCTCTGTTTTTCAACGGGGGTATTCTGCACATCCTGCCATGTCTTCTGGTCTCATGTGATGTTATTTCTGTGTGCAGGTTTGGGACCAGCCCCTCTAATATTTTCCACGTGTAAATTATTATGTACCTCTCCCGCCTGCGCTCAAGGGAGTACAGTTTTAGGCTCTTTAGTCGGTCCCAATAGTTTAGATGTTTTACTGAGTGGATTCTAGCAGTAAAGGATCTCTGCACGCTCTCCAGGTCAGCAATTTCTCCAGCTTTGAAAGGTGCTGTCATTGTGCAGCAGTACTCCACTCTAGAGAGCACAAGCGTTTTGAAAAGTATCATCATCGGTATAGCATCTCTAGTGTGAAAAGTTCTTGTTATCCAACCTGTCATTTTTCTTGCAGTTGTGACGGCTACTTTATTATGTTCTTTAAAGGTAAGGTCTTCCGACATGAGTACACCCAGATCCTTTACATTGCCTTTTCGTTCTATGTTATGATTTGCCTGAGTTTTGTACATGGTTTCCGTTTTTATATTTTCATTTTTTCCATAGCGCATGAGCTGGAACTTATCTTCGTTAAACACCATATTATTTTCTGTAACCCATAGAAAGACCTGATCTACATCTGACTGGAGGTTCGCCGTGTCCTCTATGTTGCCTACTCTCATGAAGATCCTAGTGTCATCTGCAAGGGATGATACAGTGCTATAGGTTGTGTTCTTGTCTATGTCCGAAATGAGGATGAGAAAAAGTACTGGAGCAAGCACAGTACCTTGGGGGACTGAGCTCTTCACGGTTGATGGGCTGGATTTTATTTTGTTGACTATTACACATTGGGTTCTGTTGGTCAGGAAATTGTAGATCCATCTGCCTATTTTTCTGGTAATTCCTTTTGAACGCATTTTATGTGCAATAACACCATGGTCACATTTATCAAAAGGTTTTGCGAAATCTGTGTAAATTACATCCGCGTTTTGTTTGTCTTCCATAGCATCTAATGCCATATCATAGTGGTCCAGCAACTGCGACAGGCAAGAGCGCCCTGTTCTGTAACCATGTTGTCCGGGGTTATGGAGTTGCTGTGATTCCATGTATTTTGTGATTTTACTTCTTAGCACTCTCTCAAAAAATTTTATGATGTGCGATGTTAGTGCTATCGGTCTGTAATTTTTTGCCTCTGCCTTATTTCCTCCTTTATGAAGTGGTGCTATCTCTGCTGTTTTTAGTATATCAGATTCATATACCATCCATCCAGATTCCCCCCTCCATCCATCCATCCATCAATCCAGATCCCCCCACCATCCATCCATCCATCCATCCAGATCCCCCCACCATCCATCCATTCAGATCCCCCCCACCATCCATCCATCCATCCATTCAGATCCCCCCCACCATCCATCCATCCATCCATTCAGATCCCCCCCCACCATCCATCCATCCATCCAGATCCCCCCCACCATCCATCCATCCATCCAGATCCCCCCCACCATCCATCCATCCATCCATCCAGATCCCCCCCACCATCCATCCATCCATCCAGATCCCCCCCACCATCCATCCATCCATCCATCCATCCATCCATCCATCCATCCATCCATCCATCCATCTATCCAGATCCCCCCCCACCATCCATCCATCCATCCAGATCCCCCCCACCATCCATCCATCCAGATCCCTCCACTATCCATCCATCCATCCAGATCCCCCCACCATCCATCCATCCATCCATCCAGATCCCCCCACTATCCATCCAGATCCCCCCACTATCCATCCAGATCCCCCCCACCATCCATCCATCCATCCATCCAGATCCCCCCACTATCCATCCATCCATCCATCCAGATCCCCCCACCATCCATCCATCCATCCAGATCCCCCCCCCACCATCCATCCAGATCCCCCCACCATCCATCCATCCAGATCCCCCTCACCATCCATCCATCCAGATCCCCCTCACCATCCATCCATCCAGATCCCCCCACCATCCATCCATCCAGATCCCCCCACCATCCATCCATCCATCCAGATCCCCCCACATCCATCCATCCATCCAGATCCCCCCACCATCCATCCATCCATCCAGATCCCCCCCACCATCCATCCATCCAGATCTCCCCCACCATCCATCCATCCATATCCCCCCACCATCCATCCATCCAGATCTCCCCACCATCCATCCATCCATCCAGAGCCCCCCACCATCCATCCATCCAGATCCCCTCCACCATCCATCCATCCATCCATCCAGATCCCCCCCACCATCCCTCCAGATCCCCCCCCACCATCCATCCATCCAGATCCTCCCCCCCACCATCCATCCATCTAGATCCTCCCCCCCACCATCCATCCATCTAGATCCTCCCCCCCCACCATCCATCCATCTAGATCCTCCCCCCACCATCCATCCATCCAGATCCTCCCCCCCACCATCCATCCAGATCCTCCCCCCCACCATCCATCCATCCAGATCCTCCCCCCCACCATCCATCCATCCATCCAGATCCATCCATCCAGATCCTCCCCCCCACCATCCATCCAGATCCTCCCCCCCATCGTCCATCCATCCAGATAGTCCTTCCCACCATTCATTCATCCAGTTCCCCCCCCCCCCACCATCCATCCATCCAGTTCCCCCCCCCACCATCCATCCATCCAGTTCCCCCCCCCCCACCATTCATCTATCCAGTTCCCCCCCCCCACCATCCATCCATCCATTCAACTCCCCCACCATCCATCAGTTCAGATCTCCCCCACCATCCATCCATCCATTTAACTCCCCCACCATCCATCCATCCAGATCCCCCCCACCATCCATCCATCCAGATCCCCCCCCACCATCCATCCATTCAGATCACCCCCACCATCCATCCATCCAGATCCCCCCACCATCCAGATCCCCCCACCATCCAGATCCCCCCACCATCCAGATCCCCCCATCATCCAGATCCCCCCCATCATCCAGATCCCCCCCATCATCCAGATCCCCCCCATCATCCAGATCCCCCCCATCATCCACATCCCCCCATCATCCAGATCCCCCCACCATCCAGTTCCCCCCACCATCCAAATCCCCCCACCATCCAAATCCCCCCACCATCCAGATCTCCCCACCATCCATCCAATTCCCCCCACCATCCATCCATCTAATTTTGCCCCACTATCCATCCATCCATCCAGTTCCCTCCCAATATCCATCCATCCAGTTCTCCCCTACCATTGGGGAACTGGATGGATGGTCCAGTTCCCCCTACCATTGGGGAACTGGATGGATGGTGAGAGGAATTGGATGAATGGACTGATATTGGTGGGGATCTGAATGGATGGATGGTGGGGGGGGGGGGCGGTGCTACTCTGGTTTGGCCGGTAGCATTACCAGTATCGCTACCGGTACCCACCTCAGGGGTAGCGACCTGAACCTAGAATTGCAACATAACCTTAACCTTTATGTTAAGGTTATGTTGCATAACCTTAACGGTTATGCAACATAACCTTAGGTTTTAAGGTTTTCCTTTAGAGTATTGTATATCTGGTGGTGGTCTAGCATTCCCAGATTTTCCTTGCTTTTATTCAGGGGGGGGGGAGGGGCAGATTTTGGTACTGTCTTCCAGTAGGTGCTTGGGGAATTTTAGATGTATCCTAGGTTTGGGGCTTATGAGGTGTGTAGCTTGGGGGATTCCCAAAGGGACCCATCAGGAAGAGGCTTTCATAACATTCAATGCTGGATTTATTCTTTGATACTGCTCAAAGACTGAAATGGAGTTGAAAATTTATTACTGTTGTTTTAAATTAGTTTACTGTATGCTTTCTTACTTGCAGGAAGAGGATGATCTTGCTGTGATGAATGTTCGTGTCGAGGATTTAATGTCTGCTGGCTCAGGAGAAGTAGTACATCATGAAACACTAATTATTGTGGTTGGTATGTATCTATCAATAACCCCAGTGCCTACTCTCTCCTGGAAGCTCCACATTAGAGGGTAGCCTTTCATTCCTTCAAACTTTTTAATTCCTCCCTCCACCCTTTCTTTAATATATTGTTCCACTTCCCTTTCAAGATATTGATAGTTTGTGTTTACCATATTTATCTCGCCTCATTGTGTCCTTGTTCACTCATTAAATTAGTCTTGGGTATCCTACTATTTTGTCCATACCTCCTAAGAAAAAGTTTGGCAATTGAATGAAAAATATAGGATGTTGTGTTTTGTAGATACAGTGGCGCCTAGATTAACGAATTTAATCCATTCCGGCACCTAGCTCGTCATGTGGAAAACTGGTCTTGCAAAACAACAACAACACTGTTGTCGGAGGTGTCCAAGAACCACCGTTAACGCTCATTAATCGAGCGAAAGCTCGTCAGTCGAGACAAATTGTCTGCGAGTGGCTTGCTTGTTACTCGAAATGCTCGTAACTGGGGTCGCTCATCACTCGAAGGTCCACTGTACTTATTGAGTGACATGACAGGATATTAAATATATCCTTGAGGCCTAAGGCCATTCTATCCTCCAGATAGATACGTTCACTCGACCCTCCTCGTGGTTGTCATCGTCAGCCGCTTTGCGTTGTGAGGGGTCACGTTTGATAGTAGATCCCTTATATCTTCCGTTATTCTTGCTGGTGCCAGATGATCTGTTCAGGAGTACAGACCCTCTCCTTCCCTCTGCAGCAGGTGCTAAAGATTAGGGCATGTTCCCTTCAGGTGCGCAAGTGAGGTGTGTCTATGCCTCATGTTTGGAGCCTTGAGTTATTCCAAGACAGAGTGCTCTTCTTCCCAAGCTCACTGCATCAATTGCAGTGACACACTGCCTTCTCCTGCATATGTGTGCACTACAAATTTGAGGAAGCCATCCTCAATTTGAAACATTGTGATCATTTGTTTTTTCCTGAGGCGAGACACAATTTTCACTGTCTTCCCTCTTTCTCAGGCATTTCTTATGCTCTTGTGTTGCATTTCCCCTTCTTTTTCGCCCTCTACTGGTTTCTCAGTTTCGCTACTGTTTCCAGGTCTTGGACCCCGATACCTCCACCTCTCACCTGCTCCTTTGCATTTTGGGCTAGAGGGTCTTCCTCCTGGTTCTCCATCTGGTGTTTCCTTCCTCCTTTCCTGGTCTTCCTTGTCTCATGTGCCCTCTTTCCCGTCTCGCCCCAATCCTCCTTCTCAGCTCTCCCCTCTGTCTCTTGGGCCTCCTCACCACCTGTCTGTTTGGCCATTGCCAGCGTTCTTCCTGTTGACCATTCCCGTTCTCCTCTGGTTGAAACTGTCGAGGCTGTTGCCCAGTACTAGTACATTGCTGATGGTACGACTGTCTTTCTACGTCAGAAACGTAAGCCTGGCTCCTCTCCTTCTTCCTCCCCGGCGGGTAAATAGGCTTCAATATATTCTTCACCTTCCGACTCTGACACTATCCCTGCTTCTCCCATTTCAGTGGCAGAGTCACCTGTTCCTGCTATTGACATTCCCTTGGTCCTTGATTCTCTGTTGGATGCTGCCCTTGATCTGATGTACTCTTCTGTTTCTGTCCTTCCTGCCCCTGATTCCCTTGATCGCCCCTCTCCGATTATCCCTCCTTCTCCTGACTGTCAGTCCACCTCTGGTCCATCCTCCCACTCCCTTATCTCTATTATCTTTGCTAACTTTGCCTATGCCCCGTCACCCCGATTTCACTGATCCTGGTCCTGATCTTACTTAGTCTATTGTGTTCTTCTTTACCTTTGTTTTTCCCTTGTTATTTCTGTCCTCTTCCTCTTGTCCATGTCTGCTCTTCAATGGAATGTTATGGTTTTTATGCCAACTTCCATGAAGTTCCAAATTTGGCAATATGCCAAATTCAGATCACGCAGCTTTCACAGCTCTGTGTTTGTCTCCGGGAACCGATGCTTGGCGCTTGTCCTGGTCACTTCCATGGTTATTCCTTTCTCTCTTCCCCTCCAACTTTTGCTAGGGCCCATAACTCTACTGCTCTCTTGATCCGTCATGATATTCTCGTCCCCCTACTTTTTTAGTTGCCCATTCAGTGTTCTGCAGCCTGTATCTTTGTGGCTAATTGGTATACAGTCTGTTCTGTTTATATCCCTTAAATGTACTACTTTCTCTTTATGATTTTAAACGCCTGTTGAACTCCTTACCAGAGTCTGTGCTCCTTTTGGGTGATTTTAACTGTCAGCATACCCTCTGGGGGATGTTCTGACGAACATCTGGGGCTGTCTTCTTGAACGATTTATCTCTGTCTTTTCTGAATTCTGGTGAACCCACTCATTTTGACTCCTGCACTCACACCCTTTCCTTTCTTGCTCTTTCTCTCTGCTCATCTTCTTTTTATTTGGACTTCATCTGGCGGGTTCTTGATGACTTCCTTCCCTTTTGGTGTCCTTGGTTGCAGAGGATTTTCGCGCCCGTTGGCATTTGGCTTTGGTCTAGTGATTCTTTTTTCCTTCTCAAGCGGTCTTCTTCCTGGCTTGAGGAGGATGTGGAAGTGTTGAGTACTGGGTCTTCGTCTAGTGTGCTATCCTCGGCAGCTCGGGTATCGGCTGCACTGTTGAAACTCTTTGCGCCTATCCTGAAGGAGGCGGTGTCTCTGTTCTTTGCTTCTCACCTTGCGTCCTGTCAGGCTGAGCTCACCCTTTCCTTGGAATCCGCTTGGCCCCTGGCTCTTAGATTTTCGTCTCCACTTCGCTCGTTGCTGTTTGCGGAGGCTGCTGTCACGCAGTTGATGCAGGCCGCTAGTTGTCGTCCTATGTCGGACTTGTAGGTTCTCCAGGATGGCCCTTTTCGGAGGGGTCGTACCAGGGCTCAGGGTTCCGCTGGTCGAGGTGGGTCATTGGTGCCAGTTTCTAAGCCGAAAATGCCTTTGGAGCTGGCATCGTCTGATTGGTGTGGTGATGGCTCTGTTCGGCGCTTGGTTTCTTATAAGGGGCATCGGCCCTTTCACAATTCGCCCCGTTGATGGAGCGATGGGGGGAAAGCTTGCTCTGTTTGCTCGACCTTGGTCCCATGAAAAGTGGATGAATTCGATCGTGTCGTCCGGCCTTTGGTGGCATTGGGCGGCTCACCCTCCTTTGGGGGATTCGGTGCTGGCGGGGCAGAATTCTTCTCCTGCGCTTCGTCAGGTCATCTTGGAGTGGGTGCGCTTGGGCATAGTCGAAACGATCCCCGTCTCTCAAGTGGGTTTCCTGCCTGTTTCCAGTGCAGAAACAGGACTGTGCGGATCTGCAGTTCATTCTGGACTTGTCCCGTCTAAACCCCTGGATTCCTTGCCCCTCCTTTTGAATGACTACTGTCTCTGGTCCGGCTTCTGTTTGAGCCGTGTGCCTGGATGGTGTCCCTCAATTTCAAGGACACTTATTGGCACATTCCTATTCATCTGAGGTTCAGGGACTGGTTAGGTTTCGTGGTGGGGCATCAGGCTTACCGCTTTCGTTGCTTTCCTTTTGGTCTGAATCTGGTTATCTTGAGGTTATCTTGAGTTGATTTTTTTTTTATAGTGTCCCTGCGGCCCAGTCCTTGACCAGGCCTCCACCGGTCGGCCGAGCGGACAGCACGCTGGACTTGTGATCCTGTGGTCCTGGGTTCGATCCCAGGCGCCGGTGAGAAACATTGGGCAGAGTTTCTTTCACCCTATGCCCCTGTTACCTAGCAGTAAAATAGGTACCTGGGTGTTAGTCAGCTGTCACGAGCTGCTTCCTGGGGGTGGAGGCCCGGTCGAGGACCGGGCCGCGGGGACACTAAAAAGCCCCAAAATCATCTCAAGATAACCTCATCTCAAGATAACCCCCAGGAAGCAGCCTGTGACAGCTGACTAACTCCCAGGTGCCTATTTGCTGCTAGGTAACAGGAGCACAGGGTGAAAGAAACTCTGCCCGTCGTTTTTCTCTGGCACCCGGAACCACAGGATCACGAGTCCAGTGTGCTGTCCGCTCGGCCGACCAATTCCCCTGGCACCTCGTGTATTCACGAGTCTTACCCAGGTCATGGTGACCCGGCTGCGTCTGCTAGGGATTCGGGTTCTGGCTTACCTCAACGACTGACTGGTGTGGGCTCCCAGTTGGTCCGCTTGTCTGCTCGCCAGGGATATGGTTCTTTCCCAGCTCACCGGGTTCGGATTCCCGGTGAACTGGAGGAAGTCCCATCTGGTTCCATCCAAGGTTCAGACCTGGCTGGTCTTGTTTGGGACTCTTGGACCACTTCCTTGTCTCTCCCTTCAGCGGCATTGCTGAGGCTGCTGCCACGCCTTCGGTTGTTTTTGAGGGGTCTCGGGTCACTTGGCGGTTGCTCAAGCAGTTGTGCGGGAGTCTGAAATTTGCCGTGCTGGTCTACCCGCCGGGTCGGGTTTGGGTTCGGCGTCTGTTCTGGTTCCTTCGGGGATGCCCCTTCCGTCTCTCTCGCGATCGCTGGGTTCGTCCTTCCGGGGGCATTGCATTGATTGCTGCGTCACCAGCTTCCTCTTTGGGGTTTTCGGGGTTCAGTGCCTTGGCACCTACCCGAACCCTCGCTCGATGTGTTCATGGAAATGTTGTCTCTCGGCTGGGGCTTTTTGACCAGTGCTCACCAGGCCAGCCAGGGATGGTGGGATCCGTCCTTCTATTGGGCTTACAGCACAGTGCAGGAGTTTGTGGCGGTCTGGTTTTCGCTTCTGAGTGTTCGTGTTGTTCAGGGTTTGACCATCTGGCTCCATTCAGACATTTCCTCGGTGGTTCATTACCTGAACTGCAGAAGCTCTCTTCGGTCTTTGCTTCTTTGTGGCTGGTCGCTTCGAGTGGCTTGTCTGCTGGCTTCTCAGGGTTTGACTTTCCGAGCAGTTCATATCCAAAGAGTGTCCAACGTCCTGGCAGATGGCCTGTCTCGGTTCATTTCCCTGTCCACGGAATGGATGATCGATGCTGACTCCTTTCATTGGCTCTGCTGGACATACGGACTCCTGAAAGTGAACCTCTTCGCGTTGGAGTGGTAGATATGAGGGCACTATCACAGTGCCCTCATATCTCTGGAGTCCTTTAATCCTGTCCATACTGTACTGTGGTCGTCAAAATTCAATATTGGCTGTTTCTCATCTCCAGCAGATTTAAGACAGTCGAGTTTTGCTAGGTTCCCAGCCATATTGGTGTTTCCTTAACCCTTGTGTTGCTAAGGGCTATTTGGCCATTGTCACCCACAGGTGCATAACGAAAAAAAAAATTCTTCTAAACCTGTTAATTTGTGTTCTCTGATCATGGGAAAAATAATAATAAAATCTTAAGTGGCATATTTTGCCTGCTATAGGGCGGGGAAGTCTGGCAAAAAACAGGCACTGACTCCTCATGCATCCCAGACGGTCTGCTCTGCCCCAGCTGTCAGGCAGGAGTGGCCACAAAAAGATAATTACCTAATTATTTCCATGTCTCTGAATGATTTTTCTTCATTTTTTGCTGTAATATTATTCAGTGGTGTGTAGTATATATTTATATAATAAAATGTGTGAATCATCACTGTACTCAAAATTATGATGTTCATATTGTTGATTTAATTATGTTCATCAAACAGTGAACAAATACTTTGTCAGTTATTACACTATATACACAGGTTATATATAAGTATCTGTATATTTTGTTTTCCATAACAAACCATTAAGTTGGTATTATGAGTCAAAAAGCAACGAGGAGTGACCGCAACACACCAGCCAGCCACTCACTGCCACACACTCCCTCAACACCTCACTCGCCCACATTCTCTTCCCACCATACTGTTTTTGCTTTTATTCACTATATACAGACATTATATATAAGTATCTACATGTTTTGTTCACCACAACTGTACAACTAATCTGATAGTTCAGGCACTAAGAGACGTTGCTACACACAGTCAGCTGGCGGCTACCTCCCTCACACATTCAAGGTCAGACACTAAAATTTCTCCCCAACAATACTTTTTGTGGTGTTATTACCCTATATACACACATTATATACAAGTATTTACATGTTTTGTTCACCATAACTGTTCAGCTAATCCAGTATAGTGCCCAAAGAGCATAGTGGCCTCCCCTACCAACATGAAATCTTGCAGATATTGGCACCTCCCTCACCAAAATGGCTTCTTCCCCACACTCCTTTTGCTGTTATTACACTATATATATATACACGTTATATATAAGTATTACATTTGTGTCCACCATAACAAACCACTAAGTTGGTATGCTGAGTGGCAGTGGCAGCCAGTGGCAGCCCGCCACTGGTTGATTCCAAGTATCAATGTTCCTGTGGCCTGATCTCTGACCAGGCCTCCTGGTTACTTGTCTGATTGACCAGGCTGTTTGATGTGGTTGCTCGCAGCCTGGCGTATGAGTCAGCCCGGTTGATCAGGTATCCCTTGAAGATGCTTGTCGAGTTCTTTGAAAACTGGCCGATCTCTTGCAGTGATGTCTTGTATGTGTAGGGAAAGTGTGTTAAAAAGACTTGGGCCTTTCATGTTGATCGAGTTCTCTCTCTCTCAGCATGCCTGTTGCACCTCTGCTCTTCAGTGTTCTGTTTTGCACATCCTGCCATGCCTTCTGGTCTCATGGCAAATTAGGTTAGGTTCATTTTCTCTTTTCTTTGAGAAAATTAGAAAATCCGTAGGAGCCGTAATGAGGATCTGAACCTATGCGCTGGGTGTTCCCAGGCACATGCTCCAGACAACTAGGCCATGACATAGTCAAAAGGATTGCAACCTGGGGTACTACTGCACCCACAAGGATTCACGAGGCTTCCACTGAAGCTGAACAAGGGTTTCACACAATCCCCCAATACCCTTTGGCTCTGAAAGCCTCAGAAATACTCATGGATGCAGAACTACATAGGTCTTCTCAAAACTATGAGAACTACACTTGTGATGTCCTGTTTTCATTGTACTCTGTCATATGATACTTTAAAACTACTGACAGTTTCAGCATCCACTGCCTGCTCACTTAAATTATTCCATCTGTCTACCACTGTATGTGTGTTCAAAAGAGAGCTTCCTTATATTTTTTACCTCCTTTGTTTTCCTAGCTTGAATCTTTAATCTCTTATTCTTGAAGTTGCTGGTTTCAAAAATTCCTGTTTGGTTTGTTGATTCCTGTTACTAATTTATATGTAGCAATCATATTGCCTCTTTTCCTCAGAGGCAATATGATAATTAAGATGATACAACCTTGATCACTAATTGAGAATGATATGCTGTGTATGAACAGAGGTAGATGTTCTTGAATGAAACATTGGTCTTGTAAGCATTACATGCCAAGATGAGACTGAAAATATATTCATGTAGAAAGTATGTTTATAGTTTATAATAGTAGTTGAGTGTGAAGTTCTACACTGGATGAGGAGTTTTAGACTGGTAATTACTTTTTATCCAAAATTTCTATTTGTTTTAATTTTAAGAGAGATTGTCATTGTATTTTTTTACCAGAAACATTTGAGACTGAATTGACACGCCTTCAGAATTCTGGTTTTTTGTTGGTGGATGGAACCCCTGTTCAAGACTTGCCATCACCTATGAGATCAAGAAGGCTTCGGCAGGTACTGTACATCTTTATATTTATAATGAGGGATTTTAACCATAAGACTGAATGAATCTAACATTGCAAAAGGGAAAGTAATTTCTTGACATAGTACAGGACTTTTCTCTTACGACATGACTAAGCTCACCGGAGCTTAATCATTTATGCCATTACCGAGGAAGGCAATCAGAAAGTCAGTGAGTCGAAACAAACACAGCTGGCTTACTCAAAGACCTGTAGACTCGAAAACAGCCATAAAAAACCCCAAACTATTTGAAGAAATGACCAAAAGTTTTTATTGCAGTGTCCACTCATTTGCCCTATCCTCCTCCTCGTTTGGGAAGGGTAGGGGGAAGGAGAGGGCAGGTCATGGCTCGCATGGCTCTGATATGTGCCGGGTACGTCACTATTGCTCTGGCCGCAGTATTTTCTTGGGTTTTCGTTTGCCTTGGTGACTGTTCTTTCATGCGTGTGTGCCAGGAGTTTAGTCTATTTGGAGTTCAGGGTTACTTTTCCTGGGTGCTCCCTAGTGCTTCCCTTGTACTGCCTAGGTTTTCTTCCCTGGAATGTTTGGGGAATGTTTCTTTAGAGGTCCACCTCACTTGTGGTGGCCTTTGCCTTGGGATGAGTCTGGAGTTTTGCACATCTGTCTTTTCCCCAGTTGGAGCATCTTAGTTGGTGGGGTGCATTGGGTTCCATATGAGCTGCACTTCAGCAAGCTGATGTAGGTTTTCCCAGCTGTTTTAGCCATGCTGGGTTAATTTAGTAGAATCTCTTAAGAGTACAGACATTTTTGAGTGTCCCTGTGCCTGGGTGTCTTGCGGGTTAAGGGGCCTCTGGCCTCTGGGGGTGTGTCGACCCTGCCCTCGCTTTTTGTGAGATGAGGGGTGTTTGTCGTCTGTGCAACAAGGTGACATTCATTCCACTTGCCTATGCTGTGCTACCTGTTGAGTCAGTGACACCTTTGACTCAAGTCATGTGGGGTGTCCCCCATCATGTTAATCTCCATCTTAGCCCTCCTGTTGGTGCTTGGGCTTTTCAGGCAGCATCCCTACTTCGTGTTAAGTTTTCTGTGAGCGGTCTAGGTTGTGTGCCTGTTTGGCAGCCCCGGAGTTGCCTCGGTTTTTTGCGTCTTGAACCTGGGGGTATTGGTTTCCTCCTTTTTGGCTCCAACTGTGCTTTCTCTTCCCTCTCTGTCGAGCTTGGGTTGATCTCCTTCCAGGTTTGCTCTTCTTCCAGTTCTCTTCCCCTTCCTTGCTTGTGGGACTGAGATGTCTGGATGTTTGAAGTTCATTCAGGGCAGGGTTTAGCTCCAGACGTGGCTTGGGTGACTTTAGGGGGGCTTTTCCCTTCTGATTTGAGCATGGAGGCAGTTGAGTCTCTCGGTCCCACCGAGGCCTCTGGACCTTTTTACTAGGCAGCCCCTTCCTTCGAGGCCTTTTCCCTGGATTCTGCTGGTCTTTCCCGGGTGATGGGTGTGGATGATGGCTTTGTCCCAAGGCCCCTCCACTGCAGTTTTCATGGCTTGGATAAGTCAGAGTTGGGGATCATGGTCCCCTTTGACCTTTTATGGTTCCTAGCATCTTCTGAGGAGGATCTTTGGCTACAGGGTGGAGTTTCTGTACCCCCTTTCTTCCTGTATGAGTTGGATTGTGTGTGGCTTTTCCCTGGGTTTGCCTCCAGGTACCTTTCCTTGCGGGTTCCCCATTTTGGGGCTTGTGGGGTGTTTTATGCCTCCCATGTGGCCAGGTTTGTACCTCACAGTTGAACCTGGCCTTCTTTGTATTTAGGTCCTCTTCCCTTGTTGGGTGTGCTGCACAGTTCCGGAGTCTTCGTGGTTAGCAAACCTTTCTTTGTTTTTCCCAGTTCTCTGGCGCTGTTTTTGCCAGTACCACTCGTTTGAGTGGCACGAGGTTGTGAGTGTGTTTCTGATGTAGGGGTGCCACTCCTTTGAGTCTCCTCATGCCCCTGCTCCTCCTCCTCCTTTTAACCCTGCTCTTCCCCAAACTGTTTGAGTGCTTCATCATCTCTCACATGTTACTTGCTGTTAGTGTCAGTTTTGGTGGTCAACCACCGTGCCCTTCAGCATTTGGGCTGTGTTGTGTTTTTCTGAGTCCCCTTAAGCGGCATTCTCCGTGGCTCGTGGGGAACTTGGGTGCATTCAAGAGTCGTCCTCTTGCAGGGGTTTTGGCCTCAGCCGTGCCATTGTCGGTGACTCTTCCTGAGGCTGTATGCTTCCCTTCGTGGGATACGGTGGACACGTTCTGCTCTGTGCGGCTTGCATGTCAGCTGGCTGTGCTGAATTTCTTTGGGTTCAGCTTGGGCCCTCGTCCTCTTTCATGCGGATTGAGGATGTTCCAGGTGTTTGTCGAGGTGTGTGGCTGGGTTGTATGCACTTCCTGTGACTGCTTTGGCTGCGTTTCTTTGGCACTGTGCTCACTCTGCTCGCAAGACCGCGTCTCAGGTTTTGCACTGGCCCTTTTGCATTTCAAACCATTGATGGGATGGTGGGAGCTTGGCTTGCCTGGTTTGCCAGCTCGTGATCCCATGTTTGTGGGCCTTTCAGATCATTTCTATTGGCCTTTGTTGGGGCTGGTTGTTCCCCGCCTCCTTCGGGGGGTTTGAGTCTGTCCGGGTAGGCTTCCTCCCCACATCTGTCAGCTCGTCTCTGGTTGGGTGACTTTGGGCATGGTCGACACATACATTTCTTTTGGGGAACTTCTGGTTCTACAGCGGGATTCTCTAGATCTTCGGTTCATTCTCAATCTTTTGTGGTTGAACCTCGTTTTTATCTTGCCCCTCTTTCCAGATTACCACTTTGTCCCAGGACTTTCACTCTCAAGCCAGGCACTTGGATGTCTTCCCTGAATCCCTGTGATGCTTCTTAGCACATCCTTGCCTATCTGAGGTTCAGGGATTGGTTAGGATTTGTGGTAGGGCTCCTACTTCTTGCTCCTACTTGACTTCCTGCTTCCAGGTTCTTCTGTTCAACCTGAATCTGGCTGTGCGTGTTTTCGTACACTTTGCTTGGATTGTGGTGGCCCGTCTTTGTCTCTTAGGTGTTCGGGTTTTGACCCACCTCGACAACTGGCTGGTTTGGGCTTCCAACCAGTCCGCATGTCTGCTAGCCATGGATCTGGTTCTTTTCCAGTTACCTGAGTTCAGGTTCCTGGTGGATTGGCAGAAGTCCCCATTGGTTCTGGCCTGGGTTCAGACTTTGTTGGGCCTTGTCTGGGTTCTTGCTCAGAGTTGCTGTCCTTGCCTTTGGCAGCCTTGTTCCAGTACAGCACTGCTGTTGGTTGGCGTTGAGTTGCCTTCAGGTGACTCAACTTTGCCCTTCGCTTTTTATTTCCTGGGCAGGGTTTGCCTTCAGGGGTGTGCTGGTGTCTTCAGGGTGCCCCCTTTTGCTGCTGCCACGACTGATGGGTGCAGATTCCATTGGCCCTGCGTCAGCTGCTGTGTTGCTGGTTTCCTCTTGGGTATTTTGGGGGTTCAGTCCCCTGGTGCTTTCTTCTGCCCATGCTTTCTTATGCTTGATATCCTTATGGCCGCCTTGGCTCTTGGCTGGGGCTTGGTCACCAATGCTTATCATGCTGGTTTGGGGCTGTTGTCTTCCTGCCTTCATTGGGCACACAGTTTTCTGTGGGAGTCTGCAGCCATGTGGCATGCACTATGGTGGATACGAGTTCCTCTGAACTCTATTGTTTGGCTCCATTCAGACTATTCCCACATAGTTCATTGTATCAGTCAGAGGGGATTTGCTTCAGTCCCTGTGTCTCTGAGCTGGACTCTGTGTGTGTAGCTCTTCTTCTGGGTTCTCAGAGTTTGACTCTCCGTGCAATTCATGTCCTGGGAGTATGCAACATCCTTGCCGACGGTCTGTCCCCGTTCCGTCCCATCTTCACAGCATGGACTGCCAGCGCTGCCTCCTTCCTCTGGCTTTGTGAGACATTCGGGCTCCAGGATGTGGACTTTTCATGTCAGCTAGGTCCCAGCATCTCCCTCCTTGCATAACACCGTTCACCAACTGCAAGGCCCTTGCTGTGGATATCTTTTGGCTGGGCTAGTTTAGGCGGGGATTTCTGTACCTCTTACCCAGTCTGGCTTTTGCTCTGGGTCTCGGTGCTGTTGTAGTCCTCTCAGGGTGATCTTCTGGCTCCTTGGTGGCCGACCCAGCCTTGGTTCTGTCACTGCTTGCTTGGTGTCCGAACCCAGTGATTTTTTCATGACTCCGCCTTTTTCAGAAGGTTGGACCAGTGACGTTTCTCACTGGTTCAAGCTTCACCTCATCTCTTTACATTTGGTGGTTCTGAAAAGTGTGTATCGCCATTCTTCTGCCGATCGGGTGGTTTTGTTGAAGATGTCCCACCTTCAATAAGGTGGGTCTTGTTGAAGGTGCTGTCTTCCATGAAGGGACAGTGTGGGATTCGTGGCATTAGTTCACCACTCTTTCTTCCTCTTTGTTGTCCTTCGTTTTGTCCAGTTCTTTCTCTTTTCTACTCGGGGGTTCTCTTGGTTGGCTTCTCGTGGTTGGCTTCTCATGCTGCCTCTGTCGCCTTGTGTTTTTTGTTCCTATGGCACTGGTGGGGGCCGCTGCAGCTTGTGTTTAGGGTCACTGCTTTCTTGGCTCCGTTTTGCAGGATGTTTAGGGTGTTCACCTCTAACCGGCATTGTGCCGCCTGGGCTTTCTTAGTCTCTGGCCCACATTTCTTTTCTCCTTTCCATTCAGTTTTACTGTCGCCTTCTGTTCAGCTTGTTTCCGGTTCCCGGTTCCAATGCCTGGTTCACTCCTCTGGCTCTGGTTCTTGGCCTCTCGCTTTGTTCAGTCAATTTTCCTTATTGTTGATGGCTCCTTTTCTGGCTGTGATTGGGTCAGTTAGCAGTTGACCTCTGGAAGGGTCCTTGCGTCATTGGGGGTTTGTTTTGTCCGGTAGTGCTTCACCTGTTCTAGGGTGGCAGCTTCCGCTGTGCCCTTTGTACTGGTGGTTCTGCCTCAGTGGCTTCCATGAGGGTTGCTTAGGTATTTTGGGTCCCATGTTGCAGAGTTATATCTTTTTGGGTTGTTCGCAGTGTTTCTTTGATTGCCAGCCTGTGATCTCTTCTTGTGCTCGTAGAGTTCTGAGGTTTGCTGTTTCTTGGCTGTCCTCGTTTCCCTGACCTGAGCTGTTGTTCGGGCATAGGGGTTTCCAGTTGTTCTGGGTTTGGGTGGCCCTTTTCCTGTTGGGGGCTGCTTGGGTCTTGGCGGTCGTGTTTGATCTTGACTTACATTTTGGCTGGGTGTGTCTTCTTCGTTGTTGTGTAGACAGTTCTTCCTCCTCCTTGGTGCCTGCCCATTAACTCTTCTTCGTGGGTAGTTAGCTTCAGGGAGCCACAAGGGGGCTACCTCCAGAAAACGTGTTGAATGTAATGAAACACCATTTTCTGGATGAGCCTCGGTGGCTCCCAACACCCTCCCTTCCCTAGGGAGTTGGGTTCTTACATTGTTCATTGAACTAAAGGTGGAGCGGCCTGTGAACCTGTCCTCCCTCCCTCCCCCCCTCCTTTCCCCAAACGAGTGGGATGGTGGGGCATACAAGTGGGCTCTGGGTTGTAACATTTTTGGTTGTTTACATAGTTTGGGGAGTTCTGAGGCTATTTTTGAGCCGGCAGGTCTTAGAGGTAGTCAACCGTTTCTTTAGACTTGCTGACTTTCTGGTTGCCTTCCTCAGTGGCTGTATAAATGAATAACTTAATATATAAATGCCACAGCTCCCTGCACTTCTGCGAGGGAGGAGACCAGGTTCTATTACTGGGTCCCTTGTAGGCCAGAGAACTCTGTAATTGATGGCACCTAGGATATGGCATCTACATCGGAGATGGTAGCTTCTGGGATCCACCGTGGCTCACCCAGAAACTGGCATTTCATTACATTCAGTGCTTTTTTTTCTATTGTATAGACAGTAGGGTATTCATATGTAGAGCCTGGATATAGGCTTCTTTTATTAGCATAATTTTATTCACTAACATGCATAGAAATTAGGTGTTTTCTGTGGAGAACCCCTTCGGCTCCACAGAGATATTCTGGGCTGATGTATATATATATTAGACTTTGGCAACCGTCAATCAATGGAGTTCTAGGCCTACCGGCTCCGTCTTCTTTTGGAGCCAAGCACTTGGATATTGGACCTCTGGGACTCGTATTGGCACGTCCCGATTCATCTGGGGTTCAGGCACTGGCTTGGTTTTGTCATGGGGCAACAGGCTTACAGTTTTCGTTGCCTTCCATTCGGCTGGAATCTGGCACCTCACATGTTTACACACCTTACTCGGGTCATGGAGAACCGTTTGTGTATGTTAGGGGTTCAGGTTCTGGCTTACCTCAACGACTGACTGGTCTGGGCTCCCAGCCAATCCATGTGTCTGCTCTCCAGGGATTTGGTTTTTCCCTGCTCGATGGGTTCGGGTTCTTGGTAAACTGGAGGAAGTCCCATTTGGTTCTCTCAGGTTCGGACTCGACTGGGTCTTGTGTGGGACTCTCAGGCCGCTTCCTTCTTTCTCCCTCCAGTGGTGTAGCTGCAGCTGTGGTCCCGCCTTCAGCTGTTTTTGGAGGGCACCCCGGGCAAGCTGTTGTTCAAGCAGCTGTGCAGGAGTCTGAACTTCACCATGCCGCTCTACCTGTCGGGTCAGATCTGGCTTCAGCGGCTGTTCTGGTTCGTTTGGGGACATCCCTTCCGCCGCTCTCATGATCACTGGGTTCAGACCCGGGGGCCTTGTGTCGGCTGCTGCGTCCCCGGCTTCCTCTTCAGGTTTTTTGAGGTTCAGTGCCATGGCGCCTACCCGAGCCCTCGCTCAATGTGTTCACGGATGCCTTGTCTCTTAGCTGGGGATTTGTGACCAGTGCTCTCCAGGCTGGCCAGGGTCAGTGAGATCCGTCCTTCTGTCAGGCTCACAGCACGGCGTGGGAGTTCGCGATGGTGTGGCATTTGCTTTTAGAGGGTTCGCATCACTTGTGGATTGACGCTCCGGCTCCATTCGGACTGCTCCCCTTTGGTTCACTGTCTGAACCACGGGAGTTAGATGCGGTCCTTGGCTCTTTGGGGCTGGTCGCTTCAGGTGACTCGTCTGTTGAGTTCTCGGGGTTTCTCTCTCCCGGTTCATGTCCAGAGAGTGTCCAACGTACTGGCGGACGACCTGTCCCATTTCATTCCCCTTGTCCACGGAATGGACGGTCGACGCCGACTCATTTCGTTGGCTCTGCCGGACATTTGGGTGCCCGGACGTGGACCTCTTTGCGTCGGCTTGGTTGAGGTGTTTTCCGGTATATGCGGTACCCTTCCCCGACTGCGAGGCCGTCGAGCTCGATTCCTTTTGACTGGATTGGTTGAGGTGGGGTTACCTGTACCTATTCCCACCGGTTCGGTTGTTACTCCAAGCCCTGGCTCGCTTGGAGACTTATCAGGGAAGGGGTAGTCCTTTTGGCCCCTTGGTAGCCGGCTCAGTCCTGGTTTCAGACACTGCTTGCTCGGTGTCTATACCCAAGGGTCTTCCCACAGCTCCGCCTCTTTCAGCAGATCGGTCCAGTCCGGTACGTGGCTGGTTCGATCTTCTCCTCTGCTCTTCGCGTCTGGTCTTTTTGACACGGGTTTATCACGACTTGTATGGTGATCAGGTGGCTTTGTTGATGGTGTCCCCACCTGTGAGTTTCATCTCAGCAGCAGCATGAAGTTTCCTGGCGGTCTTTTCGGCACTTTGATCGTTTTTTTTTTTTTTCCTTTTTTCTCTTGGATGCTTCAGGATCGTCATCTTATGCCGAATATTGTCGCTTCGTATCTTGCGGCGCTGGCGAAGCCGCTTCTGCTTGCGTTCTGGGTGGATGTTACTTCTGCTCTATTCCATAAGCTTTCTCGGGCGTTGTTTCACCTCAGGCCTGCTCATGCGCTGCCTGAGCTGCCCTGGTCTTTAGGCAGGGTGCTCTCTTTTCTCTCCTCTCCTTAGTTTGTGAACTGGGGTTGGGTAGCTGGCGTGGGAGGTCTGGGACCAACCCCCTTCGGTTTTCAATTTTTAACCATCTGTAGTTTGTTTTGTAATTCCTACTTTCTTGGTGCCTGACCTGGTAGATGGCAGACATAGACTGCTTCCAATTGCACGGGGATGTGTGTAGGCTATTGCTCCTTGTGCCTCTCTGAGGGAGCCAGGTTTTGACGCTGGTTCCTGGTAAGCCTAGAACTTCATCGATTGACTGTTGCCATGGTCTAATAAATACACATCAGCCCGGTATAGCTCTGGGGAGCCTCCGGGTCTCATCATCCAGAAAATGGCGTTTCATTACATTCAACGCTGGTTTTCTGGAAACATTACTGTACTAACTTAAATGATTTCAACAGGTGGTGAAGCAAATGTGTGCTCTGCTTGGAAATTTGGAAACAACTGAAGTGTCTGATGCAGTAAATACTCTTGTATCTACATGTAGAATAATTCAGCAGAGTCAAGTGGGTACATTTACATATTTTGTAATATATTATAATAAATATATATTATAATCATAAATAATATAATAAATAAATATTATGCAATATATTGTAATAAGTATATGTTACATTTACAAATACCTTGGGTAAAAGTGACCATGTCATTTTGGGAATAAAGTATGCAAAGCATTACAATCTGGAAGAAAATGAGGTTGAAGCAGTTGAAAAAACTGATTTCAGGAGAGGTCATTATGGAGAACTTAGACATTTCTTTAAGGAATTTGACTGGAAAGACTTGCTGTTAGGACATAAGTAAATGTCAAGTTTTGTGAAATATATGATAAAGCACAATAAAATTTATACCAAAGCAGAGATGCAGAACTAGGAAACAGGATTGGTTCAACAGAAATTGCAAGAGGGGCCAGAGACCAAAAGACACAAAAATGGAATCAATATAGGAAGAGGCAAACCCCCAAACATACCAGCGATACAAAGATGCAAGAAACAACTACACGACAGTGAGGAGAGAGGCAGAAAGAAATTTTGAAAAAGGGATTGTGGACAAATGTAAAACAGAACCAGGCCTATTCTATAAATTCATAAACAACAAATTGCAGGTAAAGGATAATATTCAGAGGTTGAAAATGGGAAACAGATTCACGGAAAATTAAAAGGAAATGTGTGAAACATTAAACGAAAAGTTCCAAAGTGTGTTTGTACAAAATGAAATCTTCAGGGAACCAGACACAATAAGAATTCCAGAAAACAAATAGAGCACATAGAGGTGTCTAGAGACGAAGTGGAAAAAATGCTCAAGGAGCTAAGAAAGAACAGATGGAGTTCTTACTTAGCTGGGGAAACGATGGAGTTTCCATCGTTTCCATCTGGAAAACTCCATCTGAATCCAATTTTTCCATTTGAAAAACTCCATCTGAATCCAATTTTTCCATTTGAAAAAAAAAAATCCATCTCAAACTCCATCTGGGATTCAGATGGAGTTTCACCATGGGTTCTGAGAGAATGTGCACCTGAGCTCAGCATTCCACTTCAAGTGTGATTTTTCAGGCATTCCTGTGTACAGAAGTTGTAGCTGATGTGTGGAAAAGGCTAACATAGTTCCAATCTCCAATTTACAAAAGGGGCAGCAGGGAAGACCCATGCTCAATTATAGACCTGTATCTATTGTCTATAATAGACAAGTGTCTATTACAAGTGTAATAGTCAAAATATTGAAAAATAATTAAAACTAAATGGGTAGAACACTTGGTGAAAAACGATATAATATCAGACAGTATGGTTTTCGATCTGGAAGATCCTGTGTAACGAATTTACTCAGTTTCTATGATCGAACCACAGAGATTTTACAGGAAAGAGATGGTTGGGTTGACTGCATCTATCTGGAGCTAAAAAAGACTTTTGACAGAGTTCCCCATAAGAGGTTGTTCTGGAAACTGGAACATATTCGAGGGGTGACAGGTAAGCTGCTAACATGGATGAAAAAGCTTCGGGTGACTGGTCTACTGAGTTCTCTGGGTTTGGCTCTCCTAGCGGTTCACATTTGGGGGGTATCCAATGTCCTGGCGGACAGCATGTCCCGGTATATTTCCCTGTCCACGGAATGGATGGTCGACGCCAACTCGTTCAGTTGGCTCTGCCAGACGTTCGGGCCTCCGAAGGTTTGTCTCTTCGCGTTGGCGTGGTCAAAGGCATCTCCCTGTATACATGGCTCCCTTCTCCGACTGCATGTCCGTCAAGGTCTACGGCTTCAAGCAGGACTGGGTGAGGTGGGATTCCCTGTACCTCTTTTCGCCAGTTCAGCTGTTGCTCCAGGTCCAGGCTCGCTTGGAGACTGACCAGGGAAGAGTTGTCCTTCCGGTTCCTTGGGTTCAGGCGCTGCTTGCTCGATGTCTGATCCCAAGGGTCTTCTCACTGCTCTGCCTCTTTCAGTAGATCCGTCCAGTCCGGTACAAGGCTGGTTCATTCTTCTCCTAGAGTCTTTGCGTTTGGAGTTCTGACTTGAGTCTCATCACTTGTATGGGGCGCAGGTGACTTCGTTGTTGGTCTCCCACCTACGTACTTCGTCTTGGTGGTAGTATGAAGTTTCCTGGTGGTCTTTCTGGCTTTTCATATCACTGCATAGGTGTACTTTGGTCTCTGATAGGGTTGTCTTGTTCTTCCTTTCGTGGTTGCTCCAGGACCATCATCTTATGCCTAATACTGATCCGTCATGTTGTGTGGCGCTGGTGGAGCCGCTGCAGCTTGAGTTCGGTATTGATGTTACTTCCGCTCCGTTCCACAAGCTGTCTCGGGCATCGTTTCACCTCTGGCCTGCTCGTGCGTCTCCTGAGCTGTCCTGGTCTTTGGACCGGGTACTCTCTTTTCTCTCTCCTCCTCGGTTTGTCGTGGCCCCTTCGGTTCAGGATTGTTTTTCTGAGGCTCTTTCTCTGTTAGCATTGGCCTCTGGGGGTAGGGTTGGGGAGCTTCATGCTCTCCTCTGGTGTAGGAGTTTTTCTGCTAGTTTAGTCCTGATTGTAGGTTTGTTTGTTTACAGCCGTATCCTTCTTTTCTGGCGATGATTGGGTTTGCTGTTTTCCGGAGGGGTCCTTGGGTTGTTAATGCTTGGTTGGTCTGGCCGGGGGTGCGTCGTGTGTTGTGATAGGTTGCAACTCTCCGCTGTGATCTGTGCATCATGGCCTCTGTGGCCGTAGATGCGCTTTGGGTTGTCCAGGTTCCCTTCCTTCCTTCCTTCCTGTTCCAGGGTTCGGGTCTCTCGGGTCGTCCGCAGGGATCTTTGGTTTTGCTAGTTGTCTTCATTTTGTGTTTAGGGTGTGTGGGGTCCACCTCTTTTTCCTTGTCCTTGGTGAGATAGCTCCGGGGAGCTGACAGTGCTCCTCCCCCCCAGAAAACCAGCATTGAATGTAATAAAATGCCATTTTCTGGGTGAGACCCAGAAGCTCCCCCGGCATCCTTCCCTCCCTTCTGTCATCGGTATTTCCACATGTTTTTGACATCCAGCCAAAGAACTATTGGTTGGATCGCCGGCGCGAGGGTCTGGGGTTAGGGAGCCGGTCGGCCAAGCGGACAGCACACTGGACTTGTGGTCCTGGGTTTGATCCCAGGTGCCGGTGAGAAACAATGGGCAGAGTTTCTTTCACCCTATGCCCCTGTTACCTAACAGTAAAATAGGTACCTGGGAGTTAGTCAGCTGTCACGGGCTGCTTTTTGTGGGTGGAGGCCTGGTCGAGGACCGGGCCGCGGGGACACTAAAAGGCCCTGAAATCATCTCAAGATAACCTCACCCATTTCCCTTCTGGGAAGGAGGGGGGGATTGGGCAGACAGTGTCACGGCAACATAACATCATGCTCGTTTGCTAATTTTCGTTTGAGGAGTTTTGTCCACTCATTCGGCTTTCAGTAGCAATATTTTCACCAGAAAAGGGGTTTGTTTTGGGGCGCCTACCTTTCTAGGTGCCAGACCCGGTCGATGACAGACATAGAATGCTCCCAATCACACTGGGGTTTCTATAGTGCCATTACTCCTCGTGCCTTTCTGAGGGGGGCCAGGCTCTGGCACGTGGTCCTTGGTAAGCAAGAACTTCATGCACTTTGATGCCAGAAAGCTAATAGATACATATCAGCCTGGATAGCTCCGAGGAGCCTCCGGGTCTCGCCCAGGAAATGGCATTTCATTACATTAAATGCTGGTTTTTTGGTAATGTCCTGGGCTAATATTTGGGCACGGGGCTTTTGGAGGTTGAACAGGGTCCTGGCTGCACGTTACCTTGTCAAAGTTCCTGACCCTTCTGAGGTGTGTGTTACCTCGGGTCGAAGGTTGCAGCCTGTTGTCTCGACTTCGAGTTGAGTAGCAAGTGGCAGCCGCCTCCCCGGTAATTCCCTCTTTTCCTTTCTCTTTGGTTGGGTAGCTCCAGGGAGCCAAAGGGGCTCTCCATAGAAAACCAGCGTTAAGTGTAATGAAACTGCATTTACTAGGTGAGACCCGGAAGTTCCCCAGCATGCCTCTGTCCCTCCGGTCGGCGTTTTTTCGCATTGTGATATTCTGCCTCTGAACTGAGGTTGGGTATCCGATGCGAGGGGGTCTGGGGCTCCCCCTTTCTCCTCCCTGGGAGGTGGGGGGGGGAGATGCGCAGACAGCGGTGCGGTGGCTGTGGTGATGTCATGTTGTTTTCAATTGCTGCTTGCTTGTTTGGCTTTCAGTTTGCAATTTTTAACCAGCTGTAGTTTGTTTTGGGATTCCTACCTTTTCTGGGTGCCTGACCTGGTAGATGGCCAGACATAGACTGCTTCCAATTGCATGGGGGGTGTCTGTAGGCCATTGCTCCTCGTCCCTCTCTGAGAAGGGACCAGGTTCTGGCTCGTGGTCCCTGGTAGGTTAGAACTCCTTCGATTGACTGTTGCCACGGTCTAATACATACACATCAGCCTGGTATAGCTCCGGGAAACCTCTGGGGTCTCGCCCAGAAAATGGCATTTCATTACATTTAACGCTGTTTTTTTCGTGTATGAAGTTATTCAAATGCCCTGTGGAATACTTAGTACTTTCAGATATGAGACTTTCAATTATGATGTTGCCAGCTATGTTTTTCTTTTGTAGTTTGAAGTGAATGCATTCCTGCTGCTGTTTTCTAAGATAGTTATTAAATTACAGGGCATTCTTGATGGTGAAGAGGACAGTCATGGACTGCGCGTGCTCTCCACGGGCTCCCATGATACCTCTAACCCAGAGAACTTAAAGCAGCTGTTACTTGACTCTCTCAGTCGCCTTGCTGGTGCAGTAAACAATTTCTTGGCAATGTATGCTAAAGCATTCAGGGTAGACTTCACAGTTGACATGACTGTAGATCCTACACATGGTAAGTTCTTTTTTTTTTAGTGCTTCTGTAATTAAAATGTGCATTTGTTAGTTTGTATTTTAATTTGGTAAATATAATGTTAACATTGTTGACTTTTATATTAATTTATGCCCAAGAGTCTAGTTCTGTAATTAAATAATTTTTTTGAGCATCATGTGACCTACATGCATATACATTCTTGCACACAGTACAAGTTTATCCTATCCCAAAAGAAAAAAAATGAGAAGCAAAAGAAGAATCCATGGTTTAATAGGGCATGTATGGAAGCAAAGGAAAGGAACAAAAGGGCATGGAGGAACTTCCAAAATAACAGAACAGCAGAAAGCAGAGAGAGATACCAGACACTCAATTGCACTGTTACAATATCCCTTCAAGCACAGAACTAAATTGGTGAAGGCTCAGAGGTTTGCTACCAGACTAGTGCCCGAACGAAGGGGCATGAGCTATGAGGAGAGACTACAGGAATTAAACCTCACGTCACTAGAAGACAAGAGAGTTAGAAGGGACATGATCACCACATACAAAATTCTCAATGGAATTGATAGGGTAGATAAAAGCATTCTATTTAACACAAGGGGTCACATGCACTCGGGGACACAGATGGAAATTGAGTGCCCAAATGAGCCATAAAGACATTAGTAAGAATTTGTTTAGTGTCAGAGTAGTTAATATATGGAATGCATTATGAAGTGATGTGATGGAGGCAGACTCCATACACAGTTTTAAGTGTAGATATGCCAATAGGCTCAAGAACCTGTACACCTGTTAATTGATGGGACCAAAGGGTCGAAGCTCAACCCCCGCAAGCACAACTAGGTGAGTACACAAAAAATAGCTTATCAAGAAATTGGTGTCCAGTCAAAGTGTTAACACTTGTCTACTAACTAAGTGCTGTTCTAATGCATTTTGACCAGATTTGTAGTAACACTTGTTAAGACTTGTTGCCACAGCATGACGATACATCCAAGATCTAATTATACAAATATTTGTTCATTCCATCAATTTCTAATTTATTAAAACCTAGAGGGTAACAAATTTATTAACTAAAACTGAAATTCAACTGAAAAACTTAAATCGAAAGACACCCATGACTATCTCTGCTGATTAAATATACAGTATCTAATAATGAATTGGGAAACATTATGCTGAGTGTGTAAATGGTATCCTTGTAGAACAGTAAAGATGGTAGAGTTGATGACAAATTGGGTAATTTGCTTACTGATAATACCACATAAGGTATATGGTAGTGATATTGAGGCAGCAGTGTGAAACAGATGGGTGTAAGAAAAGCAGGTACAATAGTAAGGAGACTGAAAGTATAGTAAACCCTATAAACACACACTCATAAGGTATTGTGTGTGTTCCTACAGACCTAGCTAAAGTTTGATACAATTTTTATAAGCACTGAGAATGACAAGATGGTTTTAAATATCTGTAATTTGTGATGAGAAGTGTGTGTGTGTGTGTGTGTAATTACCTAAGTGTAGTTACAGGATGAGAGCTATGCTCGTGGTGTCCCGTCTTCCCAGCACTCTTTGTCATATAACGCTTTGAAACTACTGACGGTCTTGGCCTCCACCACCTTCTCACCTAACTTGTTCCAACTGTCTACCACTCTGTTTGTGAAAGTGAATTTTCTTATTTCTTCTGCATCTGTGTTTAACTAGTTTAAATCTATGACCTCTTGTTCTTAAAGTTCCAGGTCTCAGGAAATCTTCCCTATCGATTTTATCAATTCCTGTTACTATTTTGTATGTAGTGATCATATCACCTCTTTTTCTTGTGTCTTCTAGTTTTGGCATATTTAATGCCTCTAACCTCTCCTCATAGCTCTTGGCCTTCAGTTCTGGGAGCCACTAAGTAGCATGTCTTTGCACCTTTTCCAGTTTGTTGATGTACTTCTTAACCCTTTAACTGCGCAACGCACCTGCAGGCCCAGGCTTCGGGTGCGCAACGCGCCTCCAGGTGTTTTTATTTTTCACGTTCCATTCAAAACTCCCGCGGATACATGGGGTTCACATCAGCTTCCTCAGGGCTCTTGTAAGCATATGCCATCTTAAAAAAAAATCATGGTCCACATTGCCGGGTGTCAGAGCCTCAGTAGTGAGTGAGCAACCAAGGCTGGCGCTCGCAGCATGAGCTCACAGCTCTGCTGTTCATCGTGTGACCACAGCATCGCCTAATAATGTCAAAATATATATATAACCTGTATTATTTAGCCGTGATAGTATTATAGAAGAGCCTGAGTGGGATAATGACTGGGTACAATGTTCAAATATCAGTGATTCAATGCTGTTCACGATGTTCACAGCGCTAGCCACAGCATTATTTCGTCCATCTAGGAATCTTCAAACGACTTCTTAGGTTCCTTTTCAAAATAAACTTGTGGTCAATTATTCATTTACAGAAATTAGTGACCAGGATTGGCCCATACGAGGCAGCTGCTATTGGCCCATACGAGGCAGCTGCTATTGGCCCATACGAGGCAGCTGCTATTGGCCCATACGAGGCAGCTGCTATTGGCCCATACGAGGCAGCTGCTATTGGCCCATACGAGGCACCTGCTATTGGCCCATACGAGCTATTTTGGTGAGGGATGTGATGTCGTAATTGTAGCGTCGTCTGCTGTCTGCTGTGTGATTTCTCATGCAGTGTATGATGGCCACTGTACTGTTTGGACACAATACCGGCTTACTTGCATAGTTCTAGTAAATAAAACATGTAGATAAGTATATATAATATGTGTAAATAGTGTAATAAAAACAATGACAGTATGGTGGGAGGAGCTAAGTTGGCGAGTAAGATGTTGGAGCGAGGGAGGGCTTGTGTGGGTGTGGCTGCTCACACTCGCGATGTTCTGAATGTGTTGATGGTAAATGTACATAGTGTGTGACAGTGTATAGTGTGTACATATGTTGTAAATATACATAAATGAACATGAAACATTGGTGTGAATAACTGTATGATGGGAGGGGCAATGTTGGAGGAGTGAGGGAGGGCTGGCTGGGTGTGGATGCTCACATTCGCGGTGTTCTGAATGTGTTGATGGTGAATGTGTATATTGTGTGACAGTGTATAGTCTGTAAATAGATTGTATATATACATAAATTAGCATGATACATGGTAAATATGTGCAAGATATGTGTACACAAGTGTCATGCACGTAACAGTGTCCTTGGACAGTACGGATGTTTTACTACCATAATGTAGTGTACGTGTTCATTATACATAGGATTAGCACGTAAAAACAAATAAAATGTATTTGGAACTGTGCGCAAAAAATGAACAAAAATATATTCGCGGCAACTCGCCCGCCCCGCCCCGGGCGCCCCACCGGCCCCGAGAGCATACTGCTCTGGCCACGGGGAATGAAGACGTCATGCCCCACCTTTCGGACCCCATAGCAGCCAAAGTAAGTACAATTTCGAACTTCTGTTGCTATACCCATATACAGACAGGGGTTTTTGACACTTTCAGAAGAAAAAAAGAATTTTTTTCCCAAGATTTCGTTTCCTGCGCACTGGGGGGATGTCATATTTATAGGTCGCGCAGTTAAAGGATTAAGATATGGGCACCACACAACAGCTGCATATTCTAGATTTGGCCTAACAAAAGTCGTGAACAATTTGTTTAGTATATCGCCATCCATGTATTTAAAAGCAATTCTGAAGTTAGAAAATGTGGCATAGGCTCCTCGCACAATATTCTTTGTGGTCCTCAGGTGATAGTTTTCTATCTAAAACCACCCCTAGATCTCTTTCTTTATCAGAAAGTGTGTGTAATTACCTAAGTGTAGTTACAGGATGAGAGCTACGCTCGTGGTGTCCCGTCTTCCCAGCACTCTGTCATATAACGCTTTGAAACTACTGACGGTCTTGGCCTCCACCACCTTCTCCCCTAACTTGTTCCAACCGTCTACCACTCTGTTTGTGAAAGTGAATTTTCTTATTTCTTCGGCATCTGTGTTTAACTAGTTTAAATCTATGACCTCTTGTTCTTAAAGTTCCAGGTCTTAGGAAATCTTCCCTATCGATTTTATCAATTCCTGTTACTATTTTGTATGTAGTGATCATATCACCTCTTTTTCTTCTGTCTTCTAGTTTTGGCATATTTAATGCCTCTAACCTCTCCTTGTAGCTCTTGCCATTCAGTTCTGGGAGCCACTTAGTAGCATGTCTTTGCACCTTTTCCAGTTTGTTGATGTGCTTCTTAAGATATGGGCACCACACAACTGCTGCATATTCTAGCTTTGGCCTAACAAAAGTCGTGAACAATTTCTTTAGTATATCGCCATCCATGTATTTAAAAGCAATTCTGAAGTTAGAAAGTGTGGCATAGGCTCCTCGCACAATATTCTTTGTGGTCCTCAGGTGATAGTTTTCTATCTAGAACCACCCCTAGATCTCTTTCTTTATCAGAATTCATTAAAGATTTCTCACATAATATATAGGTTGTGTGGGGTCTATATTCTCCTATTCCACATTCCATAACATGGCATTTATTAACATTAAATTCCATTTGCCAAGTGGCGCTCCATGTACTTATTTTGTCCAGGTCTTCTTGAAGGGCATGACAATCATCTAAGTTTCTTATCCTTCCAATTATCTTAGCATCATCAGCAAACATGTTCATATAATTCTGTATACCAACTGGTAGATCATTTATGTAGACAATAAACATCACTGGTGCAAGAACTGAACCCTGTGGTACTCCACTTGTGACATTTCTCCAGTCCGATACATTGCCTCTGATCACAGCCCTCATTTTTCTATCAGTCAGAAAATTTTTCATCCATGTTAGAAGCGTACCTGTCACTCCTCCAATATTTTCCAGTTTCCAGAACAACCTCTTATGTGGAACTCTGTCGAAAGCCTTTTTTAGGTCCAGATAGATGCAGTCAACCCAACCATCTCTTTCCTGTAATATCTCTGTTGCTCGATCATAGAAACTGAGTAAATTCGATACACAGGATCTTCCAGATCAAAAACCATACTGTCTGT